TAAGAATATCAGACAATCGAATCCGAGATGACTCTAGTGCCTGGTCAAAAAATTGCAACCGAGCAATTTGCTCATCGTGACACGACTGCATTTTGTTCCTCTCGTCGGTCAATTGTCGGTGAGTCTCTCGTAGACCGTGATTCGCTTTGGCCAACTTGCTTCCCTCTATATGCTTCGATGTGCATGACTCCCACAAGCGCCGATACTGTCCGACGATTCTTGCGGCTTGAAACGCAAGTTTAGGGTCTTCGCGTTCGAGCTGCGCGAGAGCTTCCATAGCAGGCTCAAACGGCTGATCCATCAAGGGAGGTCTCTGTGGGTCTTCGGGCTGTCCAACGGTGGTCAGCTCAATCATCAAAATGGTCGTGCTTTCCCTACTCACAGCAGGTGGGTCCGAGGGTGGATCGACCGTAGTCTGCGGGTTGTCTTGATTCTCGGGGGCAGTTTTGCCAATCGGAGGATGGTCATTTGGGAGCTGATCCTCCGCATGGTCTTTGACAGGTCGGGCATGAGAAGCGTCCATATTGAGTCGAGCGTGATCGTGGAAGATGCCTTTGCTGCTTCGCGACGCTGCACGAGAAGTTATATCTTTTTCGATGTACGTTTCAGTGAACAGAAATAGAAATTGTTCCAAAATAATGACTATACATACAATTAAGCGTATTATTAGGGTGGTCAAACGTTGATAGTGTGAATCAACGGATTAATTCCCTGGCGAAATGATCACCTTCCCCGCTCATGCCCACGCAACTGCGCATGAATGAGGCCAGTTGAATCAGATTCTGTACACAGTTCGAGGATTTAGGAAACTGGTTCTACTTGCAACATCTGCACGTCCCGTACAGTATAGCACTCGCCAGTTGCTACCCCATCCTAGCTATGTCCAGTACCTTATCTTGCGGACTTACCTTTCACCTATATCTCCCTGTTCGGGCCCTGATGTTCGTGTCCGCAGAGATTGTTGAATCTGCCCATCAGCCGTATGCATTCACAGGATCAGACAGCAACCCCATCAGCGGAGGAGGATGGTGGAAAATACCACAGCGGTAAGTTCTATGGCCTCCTCGTGGTTATTCAATGACTCGCTAAACAAGCCATGCAGAGTGGAACATTTTCTGTCCTCCGCAAGGCTCCTGTCAATGGCCTAGCCTCCACGCCGATTACAGCCAAGTCCCAGTAGACTGGGATTTCCAAAGCACTACCTGGCCCGATAGGGAATGTGTCATATCTGCTCCTACACAGCAAGATCAACTTCATAATATGAACTGGTTCAAAGATGGGTCCGTCCTCGAGTCGGAGGTCCAGGTTTTCACGAGGAATCCCACTATCGAGCCATACAGCGTGATCAAGCCAAATATGAGCGACAAACCGCCCGACGGTGGTTGGAGGACGACGTCCTGGCAAGACTTTGAAGAATTCACACGCCTCGTCTGTGACAATCAAGGACACTCCAGCCACACCCTCAACAGCATACCATGGCAGCTTCCGCGGCGGCAATTCAAGTGCAGCGTTGCGAAGTGCAGCAGTCGCTTTCGATATTTCAAAGGCCTGCAGCGTCATTTGTCTGGCCACTTGGCTGAGGAGTCATATGTCTGCTGGGTTCCGGAGTGCCAGCGCAGCTTCACGCGTCGCGATAACCTCAAATCCCACTATGCCACCCATGGAAGACAAGGAGGCCGCAATCGCTACGTGGCTAGCCTTGATCCAACTAGCTCTATATACGACCCTTGTTTCCGCGGACAGTTGACGTCCGATGGCTTGCCGGTCAGAGAGGCCAACATAGGCTTGCCCGATATTTGAACTGGGTTTGCCTCCAGGAGCGAACGGCTGAGAGCAGGGGGTATGAACAATGACGGACGCTAGAGGTGATCGGCGGAAGTGCGGAAACACGGCGACGCGACACGAGTTTCTACTTGGGCGAACCTGGTTTTTGCTGTCATATTTGAGCAATAAATAACACGACACGGAAGTGAAGGCTGAATTGAACACCGAATGGCCAGACCCATGAGAGAGAACTGATCGAACACAAGAAATCTAAATATCGCTCGGAAATGACGACGCGCGGAGGATTCGAACGCGCGACCCCAGTGGAGAAGGTAACCACTAGGCCAAAAAATGCATTTGTTGATAAATGCCTTGTTGCTAAGTTCAAGTTGTTTCGGTAAGGATCGACCACCCGACGATCTCATAAGTTCCGGATGGATTTTTATTCTTCTTCGGTCTCAATTGGGATTATTCAGGCCAAGGAAAGTTGTTCAAAAGGCAAAGGCTTTTTAAAGCACGCAGTCTTGCTAAATGGCTGTGCGCCTGTGGCCATTTCTACGTGTTGGTCTTGGCTATAATATACGTTCGAATCAAAAGGACAAGATATATATTTTGTACAATCAGGTCTAGAAAGCATTATAGTATTATGTACCCTTGAATCTGCATACACTATTCCCACAACACGGCAAAGAAACATGCGAGCCATTCAAAATCAAGAAATAAGATCAAACAAGTCGCCGTCCAAAAATGTAACGGATCCCATCGGATCTGGTAAAATGTCTGTTGTGGTTCCTAATGTCAGAAATCGCGACCGCAAATTAACACCAATCGGTTCTAATTGGCAAAGCCGCAATTGGTATCACCAATGTTTATTTGCGAAGTGAGCTGCCAAATATTCCAGTCTACCGCCTAATAGTCGCAGCACAGAAATGTACTTTTGATGTTGCCAGTGCGGTCGTTCAGTCAACAGATGCTGCGGTGAACAAAATGCCTCGTTGGAGGATCGTTTGAAACCATCATCAATCAGCGAATTGACCGTCACCGTTGAATTATGCGTGTGGGATACAATGTTAGGTGCAGGTGGGGTCTTATTTGCGGCGCCAGGGATGAGCCTGGTTCACCGCCTGGTGATTCACAGTTTCAACGTTTCACCACTTCCGTTTATCAACGCAGCGTCAACACCATCCTCACCGTCNAGAGGGAAGGAGGCACTAACAAGCGAGAATAAGCTAGTGCTGGGGGTCGACTGACTGCGAGTTTCTTTGGCTGTGGAGAGGAGGTCAGCGCATTCCGGCGGTCGCGTTGCCCCGCAAGCGTCCCCAAATTGTGACGCGAGCCTAGGCATTGTCATCCATAAACCTTCAATCATATATCCGTACTTGAAATTGTCATCGTCTATTTTGTGAAGTTTATCTTGTCTGTCCACGACCAGTCTAGGACCCTTTGAGCTTTGTTAAGACAAGAGACAGGATCGGAGGAGCAATGGCCATAGCCAGCAAATTGAAGATATTGAAGATCCATAGGACAGGTCTGTTAACATGAACAGCCTTTCAATCCTTGACATTACAGTCCAACTTTCATGATATCGCGAGGAACTTTCTTTGTGCCCGATGACACCGGCGGCGACGGGCCAACCGGCTGGGTCGGCCGTGATATGGAGCCGTCTTCCGTGACCGGCAACATGCCAGTCCTCCCTCCCAGGTTGCTGCTGAAGCACCTTACATTGAAGCAGACCATAGCTGGCTATCAACATTTGGGTGCCCTTGAAAATTAGTAATCAGCGTCACACCTCCGCGCCATGGTGAACAAGGAACAGCGCTCTCCATGCTGCATCTCACCGACTCAACCAGCTGCCCTATTGGGATATAATATCGGGTAAGGGATTCAAGACCTGGAACTACATAGCCTCGGTCTCAGCGACGAGGTGCCTGCTATCTATTGTCAGTTTTTTTTAGAAGGCGATGAAGAGCAGGTGGACGAGAGTGCGGTCCTGCAATGTAACCAGTGCTGGGGATTAGTACAACTGAGCTGTGTGAAAGAATGGCTGGAGGAGCGCGATGGGGGATCTTACGTATCCTGCTGTATCTGGTTAGTTCTAACTAGCTTCCCAGTGGATTTAAGTGCTCACACAATGTAACCGAAGGGACGAAGATCTAGATGCCCTGCTCCGCTCACCGAGAGCGAGGGCAAATCCTGACCTAACACGTGAAGACACGCACGCAGCTCCAGTGGTGGAGCGTACGGATACCACTGATAGCAATCGGCAGATGAGTTCAGGTCGTCTACCGGTGTATTTAGTGTTATCGTTCCGCAGACGAGCACTCCCTAGCACAAGATGCAGTGTCCTTCGGCCAGGTCGTCTGGCCGATAACAATAGTTCGTCTCGCCGGTTACCGCGTCTGAACCGAACGTGAACGTAAGGGTATTACCCCGACGTGGGCGACTGCGGTATGAATAGAATGCGGGAGGTGAGACTGTATATTGGATGCAAAGATACGGGATATCATATGCCCCTAGCACTTCTTAGATGAGTATTTACTTATATCCTCGAGAATTAAGACCCGTAACATACCCCAAAAATTACCCTCACCGTGTTCACCGTGGATGAGGAGTCTCGCGGGGGTAGGTATTCCACATTTGATCGCATCCAAGATAAGGTGACTACACCAAATCGAAGCAATCTCGGGCGCCTGCATATACATGGAGTGTTAGCATAGAACGTGCTGGGTTCCATAGCAATGATCATACCGCTTGTCTTCCGGTAACGTGGGGGTCGCCCGCGCCGTACGTTCCTGTCAGATCATCATATACTGCAGAATGCAGAGCGAACCACTTTCCGAATGGTCTACTGGAAAGATTTTCCACACTCGCATATGACCATGGCGATAGTCAATCAGACGGCACTCCATAAAAAAGTCGATCTGCAATCATGGTACAATATGTCGATGTGTGCGACAGACCGGTAAAGAGGCACATTCGGTGTGTCTGACGAGCGAACTGCTGGCGGCAGCCACAGGGCACCACGTCGTTGGGGAGGGCTGTACCAAAGGGGTCAGCGTTGTTCCATGGATGATTAATGACCACTTACCTGCTTTCTCATGGAGAAGCGCCGTCTCAGTGTTCGCACAATTGCCATCATGAAGCACAGCATGGTAGTCCGGGCCGCTGGAGCCGAGTGTGCGAAATGCTTCCACCACATGACAGCAGAAGAACGGGGCGTTCGGGTCGGCGAGGTTGTTCGGAGACCAGGGCCGGTAGAACGACCGGTGGTGCGTACAAGCAAAGTCCAACCATCGGCAATGTATATTAAGCATATCCTTTCCCTTATCAAAGTATACGTCGACTTTCCGGTCGAGCCTTCGACGTAGGCAACCTGAATATGGTCGGTGAATTTCAGCAGAGCAAAGCAGGCTCGCAACGCTCGGTCGACTGCTCTCGCGACTGTTGTGGGCGGGAGGGTGCAGGGCTTTGCATCCTTAAACAGCTCTTGCAGCTGCTCTTCGACGGTCCGGGTGGGGCAGTGGGCACGCAGCATGTGCCACACAGCCTGTCCGGCAGGCGTGCCTGGCGCTTGCCGAGGCTGTCCCGGATTGTGTTTGTGGTCTATCTGCATCAGTTATCAAAATGCGACGCTGTCTATCCCCGAGTACATACTTGATCATTGCTTCTCTCGCTGTAAAAGAATATCTTATCTGCTGACTCGCGCAGCAAGTATTGCCAGATCTGACGCGCCGCCAGTGGCTCTAAAAGAGGACCTATCATCTCGGCGTCGGCGGAACGGGCATGCTTCCGCAACAGATCGACGAGTAGAGGCAAGATGGTGTCTTTCTTCTCGCGTAGCGCTTCCTCCCATGTTTGTCGTACCTGGCGAGCCGTATCCCACCAGGATGCCAGTCGGCGACGATCGCGGCAGGTCGACGAATAGGCGAAATTGTACGCGAAGAGGAATGCGCCGCCCACAGCGGAATTGGTCAAGGTGATTCCATTGTGATAGAGCTGACCTCGCAGCTGGGGATCCAGGATCAAGTCGCCATGTGGTGTGGGAATGAGACCGGAACGGTAGGTGAGTTCGCGGATGTCCATCGTCGTGAGGCGGAGCCAATCCAAAAACGCGTCTAGTGCGACGGGTCGGCCTGGCTTGGTTCGCGTCCTGCCGATCACCACTGCCACGTCCCGCCCCACATGGTAACGTAGGCTTGCCATGTCGAGGGCAGGATCGGTCCACCCGATCAACTTGGTTTTCTGAGACGGTGCGACCGTACAAGAAATCGAAGCGGCATCTGTGTGCATGTCAAAGCTCCAATTGCAACCACTCGCGGCGACACTCACCTGGTAGCGATCTCGGGCGAGGACGAGGCCCGCCAGCTTAAGACCCTCGCCATGACGTCCAACAAGATGCTTGTGAGCAGCTTTGGTTGAGAATCCCATCGCTAGAGCATCGATGGGTAGTTGCATGCATGGATTTGCGATCGTGATTCGACCGGCCTTCTTTTCGTACTGAATGAAACCTAGTGCGCGTCTATTCTCACGATCCCCTGGCTGGTCGGGGACAACGATTGAGAGATGGTCATTATGGTCGTCCAAAAACGGCTGGAAGCTCTGACGTTCGAGGTCGAATCTTTCGATGATGGCATCCTTCCTACGTAGATTAGCGCTTGCCCAGCGAGAGAGGTCGGCACGTACCAATTTTGATATAATTCCCGAAATGCGTCTGCTGGTGTCCAGTCTTTGACGTAGCTGGGGGAGATGCCGAGAGACACCACACGTCGAGGCGCTTGGTATGTAGTGAGAGTGAGTTTCTGACTCTGGAGCAGCTCGCGTTCAAGCTGCTCATTTGCCTGGGTCATCAAGCGATCATCCTCGCTCGTGCCGGTGTCGTGACTGGTTGTCATTCTTGAATATTGCGCAAGTGAAGCAAAGTGAGTTTGGCTTTGGGAAGAGAAGCGGAGAAGGGCGACCATATTTATATTCTGGCTTTTGTGTGAACTAGGAATCTAGTTCTGAATATTGAGTGATAGCCATCTTTCTATCATACATATAAAAGTCTTCTGATGAGGAGCAAAGTGCCTCACTTCCTCGAGTGTTGCGTGTAGGATTGAGAAATGAACGTTTTACCCATCAAGTGATCTCAAGTTGATACTCACCGTTGACGGCGTGGCTCATATATGGTAGGCGATGCAGCAGGCGTTCGTTAACTGCTTTCGTGGTGTCCGCTCAACATTGAATCAACATGCTTGCAAAATATCTGGTCAGGGCGTGACACGGCGTTCCAGGTAACAGGCATTAGTCTGCAGAACTATGGTTTCCTAAACGATTTTTCTTTTGAATAATGGAGTTACTGACGACTTTTACAGGAAGCATCAGTCATCAGGAGGGCGGCATGTTGGCCCCCTACAGTATAGTGTGGCCTACGCACAAATTCAAAAAAGTAGTAGACGGACTTTCACCATTCTCACCATGAATGACGCGCAAGACGTGGAGTTCCAGGTGAAGCCTTAGGCCGTTCTAGGAAGCGTATGGGCCTTTAGAGCACTAAGCCTACTTGGCCCATTTAACAATTGCTCAAGTCGGCAGCTGTCCTGGAAATTTATTTCTATTTCGTATGCGTTCTCCTCTTGACATACCCGATGAATGGGTTCCATTTGAGGGAGAGCATAGTAGAGTTTCCTTCACCCAAAGGCAGTCTTATATACTCTTCGATTTCATAAGATCTGCCACGCCCTTCTGGATTATTTTACGAGCAAATGGAATTCGCTGGATAGAATATACGTTCTTTGTCTCTATCACGAATAACAGGGGTAATTTCATTCTTCTTCTCTTTGCGCATTGAAGTAAATCATTGCACTGCAAGTTACTGTAGTCTGGAACAGTTTGTATCTTCTGCAGGTTGGCTGGACCGCTTTTAGCTGCTGGACGGCACTTTTAGAGTTCGTGGCAAACTTCGAACCGTGGGTGGGTTGCAGGTGGGTGCCGCCGACGGCAGACGGGATCAACGTTGAACCGTTGCCAAATCAACATTATATATCCAATCTTCAGTCAATAAATGGTAGCATTATACCTGCTTATGGAAACCTTCCCCATAATTTCTTCGTCAGCCATTGACAGCGCTATCATTTTGCAAATGCATAGGGATCTGGGAATTATATCTGGGGCTAACGTTTTTGCTGCCATTTAAGGTGATTCAACATTTGTTGAAGTACTCGTTTCAGAGTTTGCGGCTACTCACCAGACGCCCCACTTGCTACCATAAGATACTATACATGAAGGAGTCGCCCCTTCGAACCATGGCTTGATAAATGCCTCACGCACTGAAAATGTTCATGGTGTGTTATCAACAAACAGTCGTTGAGAGATACAATCCGTAGTGTGGAGAAGAGTCTAGGTTGGGATTGGGAAGTCTTGGCGAGGAGAACGGTTCCGGATCTTTTGTTGGAGGACAAGATGGTTAAACAGTCGCCTAGTAGGAAAGTGTCCAAACCGGTCGTTCCACACAGAATCCCGACCGAGGACAAATCATCATCCATAATAGCCATGAAATTTAGGTTACTGTTACCATATGGTGAATAGGTGGTGATAGACACACCACGACGATGAATACACTTATTGGCCCGTGATCGCTGGTACAATGGACTGGGTACTCACCTGGGCTTGCAGGTAGTGAATGCACCGTACTTCCTCGCATTTAAAGAGAAATCTAATGAGCCGTTCGGCTATAAAATTGGAGAACCGCGTTTTTGTCGCTTGTCATTTCCTCAGACTTCCCACTTCGGCTTGGAGTTGCAGCCCGTATCCCTCAGAGAAGATCATCGTCCGAAAGTCCTAACACCGCAGACCTGATGCCATCAAGCAAAGTGCCCGATAATGTGGATGGATGCGACGAGGAAAACACTCTGCAGGTCCAGCCACTCTACGACAAAAACCAGAGCGGTGGTGCCAAAACATTCTTCTTTGGCATCTCGTCATCATACGTCCAGGACTGGGATGGGGCGGCTGCCTTCAGAGAAATATATCAGAATTGGCGAGTTGATTGCTGCCTCTCCGAAGAAAATGCTCACAAACTAAGTTTATCACAAATAGGAGAGATGCCATCTTGGCACGCTTCACCCTGAGCCGCCTCGACTTTCAGCCCGTCTATGAAGACCGGGGCGATTGTATAGCGATTGTTGTCCCTGATCCCTCCGATCGAGATCGGCAGGGTCGTGCTTTGGGATTCATCAAGTACGACAAACACAACGGTTGCGTGACAATCTCGAACTCCTGTGCGGAAATGGGACTGAATGCGCTTGAGCTCGGATACTCGTCGAAGCGACGCGCTTCCAACGCAGCTGGCTGTCATGGAGAGGGTCTCAAATTGGCAGCGCTGGTGATGGTTCGCGGTGGTTTGAATGTGGACCTCTTTGCCAGCCGAAACCACTGGCATTTTGGCCTATTAAGATCTCACTTTTACTGTGAAATAAAGCCGTCTGACCAAAATGGTTCCGTTGGCCGTGATCCTGCCGAGGACATGTTTCGGCTAAGCCCCACTGCAGACAGGGATGTCACTTTGGAGATTCGAGCCCCCCTGGAATCGAAGAAAACACTCTGTCGCTGGATGATTTTCACGGTTGGCTCACCACGACCCTGGATATTCGAGGATTAACGCATCCTTCGGACATCCTGGAAACCGACGCCGGGGATCTCATCCTTGATCCCAAATTCTACGGCCGCGTCTACCTCAACGGAATGCGCCTCCCGTGCTCAGGGTCGGAACTCCAGCGGTATCGATTTGCGTATAATTTTCTGCATGGGAAGGTGAATCGCGACCGACAGATTTTGGTCGAATCTGGTATGGTCGGATATAGTCATGGAAACTATTCGGGTATCTTTCACGTCATTCATACCCATTTTCAGACCATTCAGGCCGAGAGAAGTAATTAAGCTTATTCGATGGGGCAAGGATCGTGCCAATTGCATAGAGATGACCGTGGGCTTGTGTCGTCCTTCTATAATAGTCCGATAGCTTCTGCTTTCCTGCCTCAAGAGCTTGTCGCATTGCTTGTTTCCAGGCCACTTTTTTCCGTCCGAGCAGAGCGGATCCGTTTTGCACGGCGGAGCATTAAAAATGTTGAATTCCAGCGAGTCTTCACATCTTGGATTGGGACTAGGGCTGTATCCCCTGATTGAAGCTTCAAAAATGCGTCACGGCGTTGAGAACTAGCATTGACAAAGACTGCAAAGGCCCGGACCTTATAGCGATATAAGTAGTCTGAGTATTAAACAGCTAGGGAGAACATACTTTATTAAGTGTCGCGAGAATATCCTTATTCCCATCGGTCGGACGGGGTTTGAACTCCCTCTCAGCAGACTCATTGCTTGGCTCTAGCTTCATATGAACCAGAAGACCCTTGAGACTTAATTGAATCACATGTGCAATACATGGAACTCGAACGACTGGTGCACCGGTTACCTCTGCTAGGGTTTCAATCTCATCATTCAGACGATCTATCAAGGTTTGGTTATTCGAAGCATTGTCAGTGGTAATTGCTAAGATTCGATGGGTGATATTGTAGTCCTGAAGCCGCTTTAGAAGAACTGAGCATAGATTTTCCCCAGAATGAGTACCTTCTAGAGGTTCAAAACCTAGTAGAAACTCTCGGTAGTCCCAGTTCAGATCAATAAAATAACCAGTAATAGCCATAAAGGCCTGGGAGAACGGTGATGTCCAGCAATCAAGTGCAATTGAAAGCTTAGCTCCTTCGGGTAGTTGTTTCAAGATCGATTGCTGTTTATCTTGCCCAGTCTGGTTTATTTGCCGGTGAACTGTTCTTGCTGAGGGGAATTGAAGAGGCCTTGGTGATGCTTGCGCCCGCTGAAGAAGCTTCCGGAAAAGAGGATTCTCTGTTACGTGCCAGGAAGCAGATCAAATCAACTTGTGCATTTCAACGAAAGTATCAAGACTGGAGAGAGAAAAGAAGAGAAGAGAAGTATCTAGCTGAAGTTTCTCTCCTGAAAACCTCCTTCTTGCCCGATCGGGCAGCCGTGCCTCCTGCGGCCATGCCTGATGTCTCAGGCCAACTCAATTTAAATCGCATAACATCTCAGATCGTCACATTCTCCACAGTGAGATATGGCAGTCGAAGACCAGCAATAAAATCTAATAGATCCTCCATCTAAGCCTTCTCATCAAATCGTACTGATGCCGATCGCTGGGAGGGAGGGTAGATTTGTCCCTAATATATATGTTAGTCGAAGAAATCAAACTAGACTGAAGGACTTACTTGTCGCTCAAATAGCTCTCTAAGACTACCAGTCTTAGTAGCCTGGATAGCAAGCTTCTGGCACTTGGTCCCTTTTAAATGCCGTGTCATTGGCGTTGTCCCATGCCCTTTACGATTTGGATGGTCAAGGAGCTGGCCACACTCCTTACACAATATGCGTGGATCACCGGTCTGGGCATGTGTAACTTGATGGAGCGATTTTCACCCATCTAAATGGCGTTTACTCACATCAAAGAACTGGCTATTCTTCTCAGAAAGCACACTTCCATAGGATATTATAAGCCACCACTCAACAAAGTCATCTTTATTCATTTCGGTATAGAGGACCCAGTCTTTGATTATCTCCGTGCAGGACGATGGCCGATGTAATTGCTGATAATCGGTCGGAGAAATTGATATAGGGGCTGTTGGTTGACTGCTAAGGGGTTCTGGATCTAGGGCAGGATCAATTAGATCACCATAGAATGATGAGGAATATCCCTAGGATTGGGATGCCATTTCGGATAACAGCTAGGAGAAGGAATAGAAGAGTAGGAATAACATACGAAGAAGAGCATCAATAGAGACTAAGGTATAGCGAGTGATATATCATAAACAGGTGATTTTAGCTAGGAATCCGGGCGTTCTAATTGGCTATAATGTGCGTATTTCCGGATGGGCAAGGTTGGACATGTCCAAACCTGCCCATCAATCCTGAAAATTTGTTCAAGTCCAATTCCCCAGGAGTAAGCTCCCTCATCCAAAAAATAATTTCACCCTTCTATCCTCTAGTTAGAAACCTTAGTAAGGTTGTGTTGAAAAGAGATGGTTTCCCGGCGGAAACAAGGTCTTATACACACACACACACACACAGCGAAAAGGCATGCAAAAGATGAGATTAAAGAGAGACGATTCACAAGCAGGCAGGTAGTCAGCTTATTGACAAAGAAAAAGAGTTATGTTAAGTATGCTGATCGATCTCGTCGTCCGACGAGGAGGTTGAGTCATCCAATGAGGGGTAAGAAACCTCGACCACACAAAGGCACATACCCGCGTATGTGAGGTTGTCCATGTCAAATATATATTTTCAAGTTCAACTCTGCCAAAATAGTACTCTTATTCAAAACCCACCAACTTATATAGTAATGGGGCTAAATTATGAGCCTGTTAGAACTTTCTAGTAAGAGTTGTTAAGAATACATCATAATTTCATTATATTTCCTTTGGCAAGATAGTTTTCCTCTAGTCTGGTCATGTAGTGACTGGAACGAAGGTAAATAACAGTTTCTTATTCTGCTGAATCATGGATTTTGTGCCCGATTTTGTGCAAAAATGGGCGGGTTTGGGCAGGTTTGGTACTTAGCGTGTGCGGGCTGGACTGGGCGGGACTTAGCGTAGTTGGACTCTGGACATTGAAGGGGTGTCCATGGACGGACTCTGCTGAGGTCTACATAAATATGAAGTGCTTCTTTCTGAGCGTCTGACATGCCTTTATTGTGTTTTTTTGGGATGGTTAGCTTGGCGGCCAGGGCCACGAAGGATGGGACGGAAGTGGCAGAACCCTGTATTCTGATTGGTCTATCTAAATGACTAAGCAGGCTTTTAAGGGGAAATTTTTTGTGCCGGACAAAAGTGTGCTGGATGGCGTTCTTATATATGCCACTATACGTAACATTTTTCCTATGCCAGGTGGGGCTTTCCTATTTCAGCTGCCGCCGCTTTTATGAGGGCGCTCAGAGTCAGGCTCACTGAGTAAATTTCAGTCCGGGAATCAGAGTCACTGAGCTGCTCAGCGTCATCACGTGATGATCAGTGAGTGCTCAGTGAGTGCTCAGTGAGTCTGATTGGATGCTCACTGAGCCATCACTGATTACTCAGATATTCGGCAGAGGCATCTATTGAGCACCCAGTCGATGCTCAGCCCATACCCAAACGAGCGCTTTGCCCCACCGTATTGTTTATCTTCCAACCTACTTTTTGATGGGCCTCATTTTTCACCATGTCCTGTTTTTTGAGGTACTCGACCCTCCAATCTCTTTCCTCAGCCCCCACAAATTAATGAACAGGGGCACGGTGACTCAATAATGGAGGGTTTAGGGATTCCGCCATGCACCGGCGCAGGAAAAAGGCGATCCGCTATCATCAGAACCCAAGATCTGTGCTTAAGTCCCGGAGTACAAATTGTAGCTGTATCCCGCATTTCAAGACACAGCCCATATTCTCTTCATCCTTAACCTCAATAATTACTTCCATTCATTCGTTAGCGTTCTACGAGAATACTTTCCGTCATGGGTCAGAAGACCTTCTTTGCTCAACAAGATGATGCCTCCAAGCAACTGGCAAAGAACGGCTATGTTTTTGGCGCTCATGCGAAGGAGGATGCTATCAGACAGAAAGACAAAAGGATACCCAAGACGAAGAAGATGTATTCCAGTGTTGTCCGTCGTTGGATGGAGTGAGTTTTATTGTCCAGAGGATTGCCCGCCGTATGCGTTGCTGACTGCCCTTAGCTTCGTTGAACAAAATGGGATCAAGGGCTATGAATTTGGGCCAGGATGTGCGACTCCAGACTATGTGCTCCTCAAAGAATTTTTCCGCTGGTATGGTCATACCGCGCGAGGCAAGAAAAGTAAGAATGGAAGACCGGTGATGACATCGTTTCTGAATTGTGCAGAAAGGCTGTTTGGTGGGTTTGAAGAAGAATTGCAGATCAAAATTGTGATGGAAGACAGGAGCGAGATATATAATGTGAGCTTTTGTTGAACTCCATGGTACAAGCAAGCCTAACCGCAGCACAGTGGATAAGGAGAACATTAACAGGCAACGAAGGCTGGATTGAGAATGTTGAAGATCCAGACCACAGTTTCACGAAGAAGGATTTTCTCCGAGTGATATCATCTATATGGAAATCGGATCATCACCGATTCATCCCCGGATTACTTAAGGCTATCATCACGCTAGCTCTTCAACTATATCTTTTTACCGGAGCAAGAATTGGAGCGTTTATACCAGCCCATGAGGATAAAGACAAAAGAGGCCTAAGATATAAGGTGAATATACCCTGGCGTTGGAGTTGCGCTATGCTAATTCTTGTCTAGGACATAGAGCTGGTGTTATTTCCATCCCCTACGGCCCCTTGGAAGGTCGAGTGGAAAGTCAATCAAGTCTGGCTAAAGAATAATCGAAACCCAGACTACACTGTGTGAGTCAACAAAATATAACTTCTTTAGCATTCTGCCTATAAATGAGAGTTTACACGCTGATATAATTTGAAGATTTGGAATTGGAATCCGTGATACTAAGAAACCACAGTTCGCATCTGGCTATGTCCTTCTAGCTATTGCCCTTCAGCATGGTGCCCTATTTGGTATCAATACAGCGGAAGACCTAGCGAAGTACGATCTTTCAGATGGACGTCCAATTCCATTACGCTGGAAGGACGAGTATCTGAATAAGCCGGTGCTCAGAAATGTCACGGCCGATGGCCCACAAGATGTCCCACTCACCAAGGAGCGGTTTTGTGAGATACTGCGTGGAAGAGTCACTGCTGCTGGATATAGCGAGAGTTTGACTATTCATAAAGTTCGGAAATTTCTGGGAAGTGTGATTGAAGGTGGGTATACAAGTTCGATGATGTGTCGGACAGAGTTTTGCTAATTGCGGGTACAGGAAAGCATGGTTCTGCCTTGGTATCGCAAATATACGGACACAAAGATGCGGGAACATATCCTAAAGATTATGTGTTACACTGCTCTTCGATCGATACCGTCTCAGCCGTTCTAGGCGAGGAAGACCAGTCAAGTCACATTGAGTATTTCCAAGGATGTGAAAAATTTTATGAGCGCGGACTTCCAGGGGAGCTGCCAGCAGAGGTGGAGGAAAAAATCCTGCTAAAGCCAGAAATGATTGAGATCAAAAGTCGGATCGAGGAGCTTGAAGCTCTAGGCGACAAAATATCCGTAAATGCGGAGAGACTGAAATACAGAAAGACCTTGGTTCGATTCCGCCTTTCTGAGCTGAAGAAATACCAAAGCAGCTGGATACGGGAGAGAAGAGACCAAAGAATTCTCAACAAAGGGAAAGACGAGCCGGCACTTGATGACGGTGACGTTTGCACACGGGTTCAAGCCTTGATTATGCCTGATTTTGCGCGAATTTCAACCTTGATGAATTTCGACGGCGAGCTTTCCTTCGATGAAATGCTCCTTTTTGTGGAAGACCTAAAAAATCACTGTGAACGTGACTTTGATGTGATCTATCTTCCACAAGAAAGCCCCGTTAAGGGTCGCTGCCCCGCTAAAGATTGCAATGAAGAGATTACACGGTGAGCCGTCTAGCCGCAGAATAATAAAACTATACTAATGTTCTCAGCCTGAAAAAAACCGATAGGAGTACCCACATTCACAACTGTGTTCGACGCGAGATTGCTTTGAATCATCAAGTCTTGGAATCAGAGTTGAAATTTTGCTACGAGTGCATGAAGTGGTTTCAGCTAAGTCACTGGCGAGACCACTGCTCTTTCCACATCCAATCATGGGTAACTCAGCAATGTGAGGTGATCGTATATCGTCACACTGTGATCCGCCCCGGCTACTGCCCTTTCTGTATATGGAACAAAGATCTTGCCGCCGAAGACCGCTTACACTACTGGCTGACCAGTGGTAATTTGAGACAACACATTGAAGAGCAACATATGAATGGAAATCAAAGTCATGGAGAGAAGTCAATATGCGGATGTGGCGAAAATTTTGACGAAGAACGTGGCCTCCGACACCATTTGCATGAAATTCACAAGCTAAACAAAGCCATATGGCTAAGTCCAAAGCGCCAGAGGAAGAGAAAGAATACCTACAAAGCGGAATCGCGAAAATCATCAGAAGAGCCAGAGGAGCGATGCTCCAAAAGAGTTCGATTCTACCGCTATCCGACTCCACGTCACGAACATGAGTATCAACTTTCAAACACCATTTTCATTCCAGTTCCCACATTGCATGCCTTTATTGAAGAACATCCCGAGCAATATTATTGTTCAAGATAGAGCAATAAGGCAACTCAAAGCAGCGGAAGTAGCACAGGTAGTCCCTGCTCTTCTGCAACAATTTCTCCGCTCAGCTCGCGACCAACAACGCCTGGTTTGGATGTGATTGATCCAAGAATCCTCACCCCATTGGAGTTCTACCAAGCCCGGAGTCCTCAGCTTTATAGCCAAGATTACTCGGAGACGGATGTGCTTGCAATACCCCCAGAGGGGCAAGATATCAAATCCCAAACCCTCAGCGTCGGAGCCCATACAGGGGCTCCTATTCGAATTGCTGCTGATCAATCCACTGCCGGTTTTGAGACCATTGGTTCTTGCTCTCTCAAGCCAGTCGATAAGAACACAAATGATGGATACAAAGATCGTGGTGGTGTTACCAACCAGCTACAGTTATCTAGCCAATCATCAATCGAGACCAACGCCATAGAGAAGGCCACAGAAGTGAATTCTATGGATTTGCACATTCTGGGGGTGCCTACTACTGGCTTTACCGCAAGTGAAGCAAACGAGGAGAAGAAACACTCACGGGATGCGCAGCCTGATTCCAACTCAGGCAACCGCATATGCTCTGATGCTGAGATCGAGTCAGAAAGCCATTACCCCGCCCATCAAGGACTCGTTGACCGGGTCACATCTCTTCCTCTTCGTACGGACTCGAACACTAAACTTAAGAAACCTCTTACCCGAGCCCAGGCCAGAAGACAACAACCTATGCAACAGTCTTCAAACCATTCGACAGAGAAAACGCTTCGACAGAAGCTTAATGCAACGGAGAAACGGAAGCTCCGTGAGCTCAAGAGCAAAAACTGGACTCTGAGACAAATTGGGCCTCATTTTGCCGATATAGATATGACCTGGTTAAGGCAAGCTTGGATGGATATCAAACCCCCTCAGCGATGCACTCGGTCACGGGCAATTCAGATAGCTTAGTTAAGCAACTGGTTATTAGATCAGAAGACCACCACATTTTTAGGATAAAGCACTGTTCAATTGTGAATTCTGATTTCCAATCATAGTTCCCCCCTTCCCCCGAGAGGATTCAAATCTCCTTAAAATTTATCCTCTGTACATATTCGCCGTTTCACTGGCAAATAAGTTGATGTGGTTTCGTTATTTTTAGTAGACAAATTCAATTAAGTATGAGCTGGTAATTATGCCAGAACTGGAATTAGTGCATCACAATCCTTTATAATACTGTAAAACTCAACCCTCGATTGAAAAGAGTCAAGATCATAGAAGGATTTCCTTCCTGCAAAGATATATTACAATAAATTTATGATTACAGTTCTGTTACGTCAGTGCACCGCCACACTCTGGAGAATGATCATGCTTGCGGGTTTTTTTGAGTGGTACTGTACTGTATGAATTACGTTCGGCGTGACCTGTACAATACCAATCAAGGGCCTCTTGGCAGCCAATCAAACCTGACAGTCACCCTGCCACTACTGTTGGGCTCCGAAATCAATACATGATGCCTCTCGCTGCTGGTATCGCCAGTCTACTGATTAGTATCTCAACCGTGCGTGCACAAGTCGTCATTATACTCCACTCAAAAGGAGTGTGATCGTCGATCCTGGAGACCAAGAAACTTGCCATTGGTTTTACAATAGTCACTACGAAGTTGAATAGCCTGACTATCCCTCTGAAAAATGTCCGCCATATTCTGTAGCCGATTCCAACCTTGTATCTGAGGTGCTTCTGCACGACCAGGGATTTACATCGTATTATTTACGAGAATAATCCCCAACACATGGCTCCTAGGGATTCTTTAGGAATCAAGCCCATCCTTCAAAATCAACGAATTCTACCGGAACATGATTGTCATCGATATTTTTGCATACTGATTCATTTATACGATATACCGCTGAACATAAGAATAAACATGGTAAGGGAAAATTCAAAACCTTAAGATTGTGGCTATTTTGCAAAATCACTGGCTACAGTAACAGGAGTCCACCAGTCTCACCATGATATCTACAACTAAAAGAGTGTCGAGGTTTCGGGAAAGCGAACAATAGAGTAAATTTTTGGATTTTGTTTCATTACAGGACACACTAAATGTATCACCAGTATGATCGCTGTGCCCGGACTTGACTTATTCGACGCAAGCGGCAATTGCTGGGATTATTCTTGGCATGGCCCCCGAGCAACCGAGGAAATGGAGGATGGTTGGAGGCTCTACAAATTCGAACCTCCTCAAAGAACGGCTGTTTCTTTACAAATTTGACTGAATCTGGACTTTCTGTATTCTGTATCATCGCCGACGGTGTTTCAAGACAAGAGAATAGCCTTATGCAACAAATCTGACAGCATAAGCCTCCTAAAGGTGCGTGCCCTTTGACCAGCAATCTACGAGCGAGGTCTCATGCAACAGGGTGAAAAAAAACCCAGTTGTTTTTCTAGGTCAGGGCTTTTGGTTGGTGTGGTGGGGTTTTTGGGGGGGGGGGTGGCGCGGGTGCTCATCAAACAGGTAAGTCAAAATACTGGTGGAAAGTCTACAAGTTCCTCCGGAACAGGCGGTCTTATTCGTGAATAACTCGAGGACTTCAACTTCTTCTCGTTCTACGGTGATATGGATGAGGTTGGATATCCGATTTTCATTACTACACGAATTGCTTGGATTTGTTGGTTTAAAGTTTGAGAGATTGACTTAATCACGCCGTTTCGTTTAGCGGTACTCAATCTACCAAGTGAATGAGAAGCCCAGGTTCGACTGGCCGGAAACCACGAGGAACTATGTCACTTCCCTGTTGGCTCGGACAATCATAGGAAGGCCACACGAAGGTTATGGATGCTTTGTGAAGAAGTCTTCTGGAAATGGTGTGCAAGAGCATGAATGCGTTTTGGCCAAGCACAATATCATATCGCCTATTTCCTAATCTGATTTTGACAACTTGTCTTTTCTTTTTGCAATTGACGATCATAGATTTTTTTTCGGAATATTAATAGGAAAGAATGAATATCATCTTTTCTGAAAAGCAAAGACATGTACGTAATCTTGGTAATCTGCGACTCCCGGAGTACTGATTCAGGGGCATTGATTGGACCATGACCTGGAACACACGCTATTTATATGAATTAATTGACTCTGCTTTTCGAGCACACATGCTGCACACTTTACCCTGTACTTAGGGCTAGGAATTACGTTACCGGTCTTTACTGTAGTCCAGCCCCCACATGATGAAAACTTAATGCTCTAAACACTGACTTTGCATATCTTCTTCAGGCCCATCGTATGGGCGAGGTTGAAGGATATTGATTATTATTTTGAATTCACTTTAATCCGACGCAAATTTATAGTTAATCGATAGAGATTTCAGTCTGAAGCTCTGGAAAGTGAAGACGAAGTAGCGTTCAATAATTTGTTAAGCTGTTACTGTCAAATACTTGTGCGCAATTGATGTGTGAGCCGGCGGAGTGCCATTATTTGATCAACCTTCAGTGGCTGCGATGGTGGGCAGAGATAGGTGATTAATTGAGAGTGATTAATTGAGAGTGATTAATTGAGAGTGATTAATTGAGAGTGATTAATTGAGAGTGATCAATTAAGAGTGATTAATTGAGAGTGATTAATTGAGAGTGAGCCGTCTTGGTGGGCAGGGGCAATGCATAACCGAAGCGGCATTATCACCTTTTAAGACTCTGGTTGATTAAATTGGACTGATTTGTCTTGTCTGTGGTGGTAAACAAAGAGTTAGATCAAACTGTGCAAAATAAGCAAGCTACTGTATCTCTGGAAGCAGCTTGAGGAAAAGGGTAGGACCCAAGTGTACAGAGTCCCCATTGTTTCTAACTCTTATGATCAATTCATTCTGATCTCGTCTTTCATCAGCACGCAGATAACGTTGATGTAGAGTATGCTTGTATTGTAGTTGTTGTGATTTGAGGCTGTTGCTGCTCGGGAATGAAGCCGCAACATCGGAAATAATTCCTGTACTATCTATACGAAGTTCCAAGTTGATTTCTAATCAACTTGGACTTCATGCTGTATATATGGCCTCTTTGTATCTCTCTAAAATAAGAATAATTAAGCTTCCTTTTGCAACTTTCAACAGTAGTTACTACCTGAGGCGTTTACATGTTGGCCAACTGTTCTTTTCCAAGCCGTTCGAGGTTGGTCGGAGGAGTATGACACCCGTGAGCATCTATGCACGAAATGAGAGAGCTTTAGCAGTTACGGTGGAATAGAGGGTCGAGATTTTAAAGACGAGGCTAGGCATGGCGACTTAGGATTTGTTCGTTCGGGTGGAATGATTGAACGGTGGTGACGGATGGCTCTGGACGTATCCTCGCCTGCTCGTATCGTATATCCCTGGCTGATTGGCGCAGTACTCTAGTAGGTGAGAATTAGGATCCAAAATAAGCCTATACATCAAGGCGAGCAGAAAAGACTGCCGTCGTTCTATTTTATTTCCAGGGTCCACAACCTACTACAGTATATTCGTGCCATCCGATCACCCCACATGCGGAGCTTTAGAGACCTCCACCAATGTTATTACTGAGCGTCAAGTAGAGAGGGCTGTGCCTAACAGGCTGTGTATTACGATACAGAGCCGACCGCTATTGCCTTCCATGTCGGAAACATATGTGATGCGCTTCTGAACCCTGATCGCATAAAAAGTGAATCCGGATAATGGATATGCCGGATTTAAGGGCCCGTTTCGAGGGCGAATAGTATAGTTAATCGTAAACGGAGGAAAGGAATAATACTATGGTGCTTGGAAAGGCATCACAGATAAAATGATTATTTGATGCATTAATCCAAAGATAGCTAATTGTGTATTTACTAACGCTGTTCTTAACTTTCTTGACTTGCCTTGTAAAAGAAGAAATATGTAAGAAACAGCACATGTTGTGTCTTTATGTGTTCCCATACCCCCCAAAACGAGACAAATCCACCATTATGTCATCCAAATTCTGACATGTGATGATATGCGGGGTTAACTTTCGTAGACAAGGTTCCGTCAGCTATTCTTCTGATCACAAATGAATTACTTGATGATCGAGAAAAGTTAAGATAAACCTCGGAAATCATACCTCGAGGTTCCAATGCAGACCACAGACTTGAACAAGGCTGGTGCCATGGAGCTTTTGCAATATACCAACCCCTTTCTTGAAGAAAGAGGTCTCTCTAAACACCCATGGGCCGAATCCCCCGATCCTGCTTACTCAGTTCCCCTCCTTCGGGCGTGGGACATTTACTCTGGCAGTCACCCAGATCAATCGGGAAGAATGCAGGCTCGTTTGCCGCGGGAGCGGTTGGGCTCACGAGAAAGCCGAAAGGAATAACTAGCCACACACGCCGCCAATCAATTTTGCCTTATCGCAAAACAAAAGGTATGTTCTCTAGTAGACGTCATTTGGAATGGTACTGTCCAGTATTACGTCAAGACTTTTATCTCAACTCACTCGCTTACCTTTGACTTAAATCTTTAAGATCGGAGAATATTCAAAATGCCCTATACCTAAATGATTTTTTCTTTTCTCTTCCTCCTAACAATATGCGACAATGTCGAAGAATTCATCCACACAGATACAGTTCATCATTAACAAGATTTCGGAGTAAGTGATTTGTTGAGGATATCAAGAGCCTTGCTGACGATTTGAAGATGTCGTGAAAGAGGCGATTTTACCGATTTGACAATAATTTGCGATGGAATCAAGTTCAACGTGCACAAGATCATTCTATGCCCACGATCTCCTGTCTTTCGATCTGCATGTACTGGAAATTTTACGGTAAGGCTAGTCACATCTCAAATCTGATTTTCTATTTGTTCGTTTATAGCTGAAGCTAAAGAATAGGAAGCAGCAGAATCCACGTATCAGATGACGGATGAATCGGCCTATGCTGTAACCAAAATGCTGGATTACCTATATACAGGTGACTACTCTGAGGCTTTTGATGAAAAGCTGGCGGATGACTCACCGAAGATGGCGCCCTTGCCTTTATCAGCTCTTCAATTGCATGCACAATTGTTCACCTTAGGCGATAAATATTTTATCCCAGAGCTTTGTCACACTGCTGCGGCAAAATACTCGAAAAGGGTTTTAAACCGATTTGACCCCTTGGAATATCTTGATTCAATACCTGATGTCTTCTTCTCGCCATTGAGTCACAACAGGGAACTCAAAGAACTCGCCATCCGCTTCTCAAGAGACAACCTCGTGTCCCATTTGGAGGACGCATCCATACGTTCCAAATACGATTCAATTGCAAACCAGGTGCCAGTGTTCGTGAAAGAAGTTCTTGACACATATCTTGAGACACCCTTGCTAGGGGACTGCGAGAATTGTGGCCACCGCAGACCAATGTTGCCATTACAAGCTAGGTGCAGAAACTGTGGTCGAGGAAAAGGAATGTATGGAAATCGATATGAGTTTAAAAGTTGGTAGTGTCTTACAACCTAGGATGAGATGGTTAGCTACATTACAGTACCTGTCCTTGATACTATCGGGACATATCCTGCTGTCAGAAAAAGCAAAGACAACATGTCATTTGCTTGGTGTACGTAATCTTGCTAAGCTGCGGCTCCCACCACATGGCATTCAGGGGTATTGGAACATGACCTGGAGAGATACACATCTACATACACGAATCCATCATCTCTTGCCTTGATCGCGGATGAGACGGATAACAATTATCCGATTTTGGTTGCATCTCTGTTAAAAACCGCGAGAAAGCGGGCAAAGCAGAAGCTAAGAATTTGGACAATGACTGTGTGGCTAATATGTTCCGGTTCCGAGTTCGTTGAGTCGAGCGTTGGCTTGTCTTATTCCTAATTTGGAAAGGTGACGGTTTATTGTGGAAACGGCGGTGAAGATCTTTAATTGTGAGTACGGGTTTAGCGGGAATGATAGGTTCTTGCGTTCGAGAAGTTGGTTCTGATGGGGATGCGGAAGATTGTTGGAGGACAGAAGCATAGGTCGTTTGTTGGTTTCGGTGTGTAAAATGGGCAGCTAGCACATTTAAAACATCAATAAAAAAGAGGTTACAGTACAATGCGAAAGTGAGCGGCGGAAATCTCATGGATTCGGAACTGGACCAGTCTCGCTCCATTCCGGATATATTTCCCCCTTCCTCGCTGCAAATTGCCTAAGCTATCTATTCAAGAATAGCTTCAAGCTCCATTCTCAACTTTCTGAGACATTCTAACAAACGTTTGACGTGAAAAATTATTTCGGTATCTGGGAGCTGCCCTTCCACTTCACTGTGCTTCCGCGACGTTTCATTGATGGCCGAACAACGTTTTGACAGTGCTTCCATGCGCAACGCTGTAGAAATAGTAATTCTTGGCGAACTAGCCAGACATTTAGCCAGGAGAACATCTTGCAAAACAACCGCACCGTAGTGAGGAGGTGTTTTAACGGTAAAATCAATAACTTGGCCGCGCTCAACAAGACCTAAAGTCTTCTCAACGGAAACGCAGGCTTTGCGGTTTGCATTGATGACATCGAATATTTGGGAGTCAACGTGGAGGGAAACTGCTGAAAACTTCTCTTCTAGATCAGCCACATCTGTGTCTTCTGCTTTGAAGAACCAATGATCCTGATCTGTTACCAGGTCAAGCAACGCGGAGGAGATTCGCGAATAGACGGGGTTCAAATTGGTATTCGCCTTCTTCAAAAGGAAGCTGGCAGATGCAATTCCAAAAAGTTCAAATTTCTGCGGCTTTTCGAGAAGGAGGGAAAGCCAGAAACTCAAGGAATCGAAGGTGTCGGATTCCCTGTTGATTTTGTTCGAAAGATCTTCGTCGGCAAAGACGCCCATTGAGAGTGGCACGACGTCTTTTCCACAATGCAGATAAGATTTGTTGACTTTATCTGATATGCATGATGCGAGGTCCCAGTCGCTGATGGGGCATTTGTCTTCTTTTCTTTCACCATTGTAGAGGCATAGATCCTGTAATCTTTTTGCGCAACACGGGATAGCCGTTCTATCGCCTAATGAGTGGAAGGCCAAGGCGAAGTGATACATGAGCAAAACTCGCAGCTCCAGTCTGTACTTCAAGTAGTTGACTGCACGGGACGGATGAAAAGAGGGTATCACGATAGCGGTGTGCCCCTCAACAATTTGGATTTGTTCGCTCCGTATCCTGTAAGGTTTTCCCCCGAAGTTGAATCTGCTCATCCACGAACTATTATAGACCGAGTTTGTGCAATGAATGATCACCTGGGGTCTCTTTACCTGCAGAAACTGTGCAAGCATTCCTTCACACTTGAGGTCTGCCTCAGCATTCTTTTCAGGCTGCAACGAGAATGCATTAATGACAGTAACGGTACCAATGTTCCGAGTCCCTCGACTAGCAAAGCGGAGTAACTCGTCCACTACCTGCAAAGTGTCACAGCCATTCACAAAGTCATCAAAGCTTTGGTTGGGGGAATGTGACTCGACAATGCGAGGGCGCTCGAGAATGACGATAACGTCAGACAACCCAGACGCAAGGTTGCTGGCCTGGGTAATGCTATGCGAAGAACTGCCTGACTTTTGTCCATGTTCTCTCAATATCTGGGTAGCTTGAAAATCCCCATCCCGAAGTAGACATACTGGTGGGGATTGCGTCATCTGCCTTAGGCAGCGGGGCATGACATGAGGGAGAAAAAAAGGCTCGCGCGCTTCTTCCATATCTTTTCCACGATTTGGATAGCCTATAGAGTCTAGATCCTGCAAGTCTGCAGAGTATCAGCGCTGCCGTATTAGGTGATCTGGTTGTTTTCTTGTGGCACTCGGCAGAGGTTGTCGATGACTGATCACTTGTGGATCTGGCTGAAAACACCCCTTCTGAACACGCCTGGCCTATTTCAGGCGGCCCGCCAAATAAATGATCCACACTAATGCCTTAGCGTCGGGGCCGAGGATTGTGTATGTGAACTGGTCAAGCCGATTTCGAGGATGGCTATTGTTAGTGGGAGGAGTGTGAACGAACGGCGGCATGGTGGTTTGAACCTCTTGGTGTTGGTTTGGGGGGGGGGGCGGGAAGGGGGTTATTTTTGGACACAGAATAGGTTTTTATTTTTTTTAGACATGTATCAGTACATGACTAAACAGTTTTTTACTTTCATCATATTTGGAACATATTTGTAAATACGAAAGTAGCCATATTTAGCTTAGCGGATCATGTGATTTGGGTTTGAAATAATGTATCTGTCTCTCTATTTTTGAAAGGCAATAACGGGCGGCACTGTACCATCCTAGATGGGGAACAACCAAAAAGGTATATGTCTATCCTAGGAGAGTATATGTGCACAGGGGAAAGCCCGGAGCATGCGGTAGGCAATGTATTAAGGCGCAAGGAGACGCGGACGCCGATTATGACGAGCAACCAGTGCTGAGGGTTCTGGTGGTGAAAAAACGGACAGTCTGTGATACGCAGGCCTGTGTGACTGGTCGGTAAGCCCTACCCACAATTACCACTCAGAACCTTCTTTGCTAAATCTTATTTTCAGGGTCGAGAAAGACAACAGTATGCATCTTGAGCTGTTGCTGATTGGTGAATAGTCGTGCAAAATCACCTGACTGGTCTCACCGAACTTCTTTCTGAAAATGAAATTGGAATAAAGACTCGCAGCTATCCAAAAGAAGTATGACATTGGTGCCCAAAGCTGGATGCATGGCATGACACTGATGAAGAGGCTGAACAAAATGATATCAACGATAACATAATCAGCCTCATTGAGGACAATTGGTGATATTACTATCTTTATGTTTGGCTTTTGCCACAACTTTTGGTATTTGGCTTCCATCAATCCCAAACGTCGCATGAGGATGCTTGCGGTCATTATTCTATATTCTATATGACAGCACCTAAGGCACTGTTGGCACAGGAAGCGAAGAGAGAAGGAAGTCTGAGTCTGAATTGGTCTACCTAGACATGAAGACGAAGATGACTGAAGAGAAGAAGAAACAGAACGGAAAAGAAGAAGGCCTATAAAGGCCTCATCGCACAAAGGAGAGAACCAAAGGAGAGAGCCGGCCTCACCCTGACAGGAAACCACCGGCCAACATCATGCATCATGCATGCAGGCCAAGAAGACTCGATCTCGAGTCATCACTATAACCTTTGGGTACAGTACAGATAGGCAGTGTGCAAAATTGCCAAAATTGTGGGCATCAAGGCAAGGGTTTCTTTCTCCTTACTTGATTTTCAACTTCTGGCAGAACAGCCAAACCTTTGCCAGAGGTCACCTCTTGACCTCAATTATCTGGTCATTCAACTATGCCTTCGCACTAACCGCTCAGTCCATTAGTTATAGTGACCGGGTCGACAGGGGACAAACGATGGTGAAACTTAAATTAAACCCAATAAATTTAATCGAATAAATTGAATCCGGAAGACATACGCGTTAACGACTCTCCACATCAATCCCCAGACGGCTCAAGCGGAGGTTGCCCGAATCAAGCTTGCCTGTAATTGTCTCCACTAAGAAAGAGCAGATGACCATTCGTGAACCTGGTAATAACTTACAGTACTCTGCTCCCTTAATATTCACTCTCTTCATCGAAGCTAGTACGGGTATCATAAGGTGGGACACGGTAATTGCACGACTTCGTGTTCCAAGGAGCTTCTTTTGCTGGGCTCAGTGATTCCATCATGCGCGAACTCAGGGCCGGCACCCTCCGCAGCAGACCATGAAATTTGCCTTGAAGACGTAAGGTATCCAAGCACCAAGCAGCATATTGAGCTAGCCACCCTCGAAGCCCATCATAGCGATCCACTTTCGAAAATACAACCTCAAGACAATCAATGACCGCAAGCTGCTCATCGAGTTTTGTTGGCTTTCCCATATCCTTCAAGACCGTCGTAAATTTATCAAACGCCAGCTCTTTGAGCTTTGAGACTTGATAAACATGGCTGAATACGTAGACATGTAGATGAGATAACAGTGTGTGCGCGGGTAGGACCTTGCTCTCCTCCGAAAGTTCATCCGGCGGCTCTAGAGTTGTTGGCTCTGGAGGATTTCCCGGTTGTTTCTCCCAAGGCTTGTCGATAGGCATAGGTTTCACGTCAGTATAGTCCCCACTATATGCCCATTCGATAAACTGCGAGACAGTGACATGAGCGGTCTCGGTGAACGTGTAACACCTAGAATGGCGTTCTGGAAAATCGCGCTGGAATGCGGCAGCCACGACTTCGCTTTTGGACTCAAGTAATCTCTGGTGAATCTTCAAGGAATCGCAGCTGGTTGATGAGCAAAGTTCGACCATTTCTGACTCCAAAAATCTGCTTTACATTAGGTACTTGCATCTTGCGATGTAGGGCAGTACACACTCGTGGAAAGGGGGACTTTTTTTGGATTCCATGGTGAGAATGAATGTTCTGAAACTGAAAATTCCAGATAATTGAGGTCAAGAGGTGACCTCTGGGCAAAGGTTTGGCTGTTCACAAGCCGGAGGTTTTCACGCTTAAAACCTCTCTCACAGACCCGCTGATGTCATAACATGCATAGAATGACGACAGCTATGCAGATCAGTACTTTTGTAAAGATCAGTCAAGAAAGTCATCAAATCCATGGTAAAGGTTATCCGTAACACTGCCAATAGCGCCAAATGAAGGTTTCATATCTACAAGAGAGATTCCATTGGGGTCAAGTCGTGAAAGGTACATAGTCAACTGTCCTTCTTTTTGCTTTATTGGAATGATGCTGTGGTTTTGACGGGCTGATGATCGTTCCAAGACGTGACTGGTCTCAAATTTGGCCGAGATAATGGAGACAAAAGTACTTATTGGGAATTTAAGTAATTCTGCCTAAGAATTATACAATTGGGGAAATAAACGTAGCGGTCGCTCGACTACCATACATGTTAGAAAGCTTTCAAACATCCCAGATACAATTTTGGACAAGATTGGTGGTTGATGCCACAGCAAGTTGAACAACCCAGACGGCTGCGGCTAGCCGAATCTACGCAGCATCAGATGGTTTAGGGCGCGGAGCCCAAATTGCGCGCAAACAACGAGTGACGCGATTGTAAACTCGATTTTTTTCTCCAGTTCCTGGAGAGGAGAGTGAGGGAGCGACCAGAGTGGGTCCTGTCGGGGTAACGCCTTCCCGCTGAGCTTGTTCATACCAGCCTGGCGGATAGTCTGGCATTGGATGGGGTGATGCAGGAATACGATCCATTGAATCTCTTGATAATGTTTTGGAAGAATTTGTATTTTTGGTTCGACTAGAAGATATTAGTTTCAACCAAAAAACAGATACAGTCTCCAGAACTTACAAAGGATACTTTTGAATATTCCTCCATGCACATAGGACGGACTCTTTCTGCGCCATCTCTTGGTATGGCAGAGGATTCATCGATTTCAAGAGAAGGGAATTAAAATTGCCGTCCTTTCCTTCAATAATCCACTGCGCGCAAAACTCGAACAATCTAGGATAATACCCAGCAGATGCCCAGTCAATGAGGCAGAGAGAACCATCTTCCTGCCACAGGATATTTCGAGGCGCTATATCTAAATGGCAAAGCACTAGCTCGCAGCCCTGGAGATTCAGTTTCGGATTATGTGCGAAAAGCCGGCTATTGAACCACTTCTCCATCTCGTCAAGACTATCGAAAACCAGATCCTCTGTCTCGGGGAAGAGAAGCCCGCGACAGGTCCCGCCAAAGAGAGGCCCAGGGATGTCATGTCGAAATGTTGCAAAGTAATCAACCACACCGGCAACCTTTTCTATGGCGTTGATGTCTTCCAACGGATCGATAACCTTACCCTCTATATACTCCATCACAATATAGCCCCAGCCCCGTTCATCGGAAAAGAAAGCGTACACGCGTGGGATATGAACGATGCGGTTATCCACAAGTTCATACGCTATTCTTTGATTTTCAGCCTCTTCTTTCGTGACATCTGGGCCCCATTTGACCACCTGGTGGTCGGAGATCCTGATAATGCGATTTCCGTATTGACTGATAATATTTTCAGGCTGCGGATTTGAACAAGACGCTATCACAGAGGCTCGAAACTCTCCCGGAAGTGACATGTCTTCAATAGGGTTGCGGAAACAAGGAACTTGCCGCTTTGAAGCCTCTGAAGATTAAGATAAAACGTGAAAAGAACGAAACGAAGGGTCTAGGGTTCGGATCTGGACCCTCACACCTGCTAGAGATGTGACGAGACAAAGAGGGCTTGAAAAAAGCGATACAAACTTTCAGTGCGGAGAGGAGCGGTGTAAATACGCGCCAAGGGGGCAGAACAGGGGAGATTTACTGACCATTGGGCATCAAGTTTGATTACGTAATGCCTTGGTAACCCTGAGTCGGATTGAGGCACGACTCAGTGACTCTAGCTGAGGTCCCGTTGATTGGCTTGGCTTATGAACCAGTGTATGCTCACTTATCGTCCCACTCCACGTTCCGAGCCCTCATCTCATCTCAATTCAAAGGGGCCGTGCGTGCCTTTTACACATCCAATCTTGCTAGTGTCAGAACGATTTTCCCCAAGTTACCGCCCCTCAGCTGGTTGGCGGTTGCAGGGTTCGTGAGATTTACGCTAGTGAGTATAGCCCCAGCGCCTTTCTTGTCAAACCATATGCGTGATTTCGAGTCCTTGTAGCCGCCCACCCAGTTACCCCAGTTCTATATCCCATATAAAAATCGAAGGAGCCACAGAATCCAGCTTCCAACCCGAATTTTCTTCGAGAATTTCCTCGATTCTTACCTTTTCACGATGCCGTCTACCCCATTGCTTCCGGACATCGTTCAAGCGGACACCACGCCAGTCACGCATGTCCGTGTGGTGGTACACACTCTTGGTGCAGCAGGTCCTAATACCAGCGACAATCATTGGTCCATCTACTTGCTTCATTCTGATCGTGTCTCATCAACTCGCATCAACATGAGGGCAGAGTTTGAGGATCCAAGTGGGAAACTCGAATGGACTAAACATGCCTACACCCAGACCACATCGGCCATCAGGCATTGGGACTTCCCAGTTGCCGCTGGAATCACTGTATTATACTTCGCACGTCTCATCTACAGCCATCGCCGCGATAGATACGAGATGTCCGGTGGAGGTTCAGGCTGTCGGTGGTGGGTGTAAGTTTAGGGAAACCTTCGACAGCAACCTCCGAGACAATTCCAAGGCTAATGTACCAAAACAAAGTTACAACATCATATCCGATCTTGCACAGGAAAGTTATATCCACCAGAGTGCCCCGGGCACTATTTGGCCCAATCTTTTGTATCTATACCACATGACTAAGGAGCCAAAGCCACTGCACATGGTTCAAGGAACGTTCTATTAGAGAAACTCCAGAATCGAGTGCACGTCAGTTATGGTGTCTCAGTCAGAGAAGCCCTCTCGTGGTTTCGTCAATGCACGTAGGAGAAGTGGGAAACGTCAAATTTTGATGTTCTGTAGCACAAACCGTCAAAGTAGGATAAGGAGAAACTACGTCAAATTGAAAGACAAGTTTGAGTAGATATACCGCGATGAAAACAAGTATACCAAGCGTGAGTTAGTCCCTAACTACCTGGTAATATGTATTGCTTAATCCGTCATAACATTGCCCACAGACCCCACCAGTTTCCAAGATTACCGAGAGATGAAAATGACTTTGGAAGGGTCTACAGTGCCCGACGACTTTCTAACAGAGCTGCACTCGAGGCGATGCGCTACTTTGCTACCGGCTACGTTTTGGTCGATGGATTGGAGGCGAGAACGAGACATTGCTACATAACGCGTAGAAATGAACCAACCACCTCACAGCATTGGGTTGGGCCTCCGGTACTAGAACGTTGAAAAAGAATCGATGCGGTTGGCTACATTGCACTTTGGGCCTTAGGCTCCGAATCTGGGTGTTGCAGAACGACTCCCGCACAAGAGATAGCTATTACTAGATCAGTCCAGAGACAATTGCAGGGCTAGATGCGAAGGTGAAGCAACTGTGATTCCTCTAAGAAGGGATAATGATTTGGACATCGGCGAGAACGAAATGGCGCAGTCGTTAGCATCCTCGGGAAACAGACATGAGCCGTATGCGAGAGTCAATGCTGGCATTGAGGTCCTCGTACGTGATGATATTCCCAGGAAAGACGCCATGAATTACAGTAATGAGGCCAAAAGATAGTAAGCTGAGTGACGCATTATGGGAAATAGCGGGGGTACACTTGAGTGTAAGGACGGTTGGAAATATGTATATGGATGATCGGGAAAGATACTTAACAAGGATGGTCTAGCTAATTATTCAAAAAAAAGCAAAGCCTCAGATTTATGACACCAATTGCGCTGCACAGCTTTTCCAATGGTTCATTAGTAAATGGCAGATATTCCTCGCTTGGTGAGGGCTATGAGTCAAGGTAGAGGTGCTGCAAGAGTGTTGGCTTGACAAAATTTGGCAAAGATGAGGATGGAGATGAGCTGGTCTACCAGCACAAACAGATCTTCGCTGATAACATTGCTCACATCTGCTGATATTTCAATAGTGCCAATAAAATACGGTCTAAAGGGTGAGTTCTCTTAGCTGGTGTCTCATTGAGGTTGAAACGTAGGTTAGAATGAGCATGAAGTTTAAGCAAAGTCGAGTAAAATAAGGCTAAGCTAGGTAAAGCAGGCACAGAGATTGCGCACAACGTGTTCACAAGATAGGAAAAAAAGGAAATTCCTAAAAATTATGCAAAAGGTAGACCAAAATTGCTCGAAATGTGCGCAAAATAGGCTTAAACGGCGAGTAATTCAGCACGTTACATCGGATTTTTAATGGCCAGTTAACCTGACATGATTCATCACTCATCAATTTCGAGGTTTATCTCTTTTGTCTATCTATAGCTTCAATATAGATCTTTGGCTTTAATCTCTTGTCGAGACATGGAGCGGTAACTTACCGCTAGGACAGGGGTTATACTCAGTGACCCACTTTCCCTTGTGTTTTGTATAGTAATTTGGTATCTTTGGCATCACGGTTGTCGTAACACCGTGTACTCCAGCCATACATGGGGTATTTCAACCTGCCCCATGGCATTCGTTCTTTCTTTAATCAATCAACCTTTGCATCCAAGATTGGTTCCGCTTAATCCTATCCTCGACCTCATTCGCCTATTAGGATTACTAGTCATTACTGTCATAGCTTGCTCCGACATCTCTTTTTACTCTTTGGCACTAATACACAATATGTGAAATTTGAAATGAGCAAAATAATATGCGTGAGATAGAGCGAGCAAACGAAGGTATTAAATGACAGTGGAAGGGAAAACTGTTGGCATTACCAGCTAGATACTGTACAGTACGCAACCACGCGAGGTGTAGATGCGGGCAGTAGACGCAAAGTTGGTCAGCATTGGTGTTTTCGGTTCGCGAGTGGCCGCTTTAGATGCACTAGTACTATTCTGCCGCTCAGTAAACGCGGTAAAAGTCGTCGCGTTGGCCGAATATCTATGCTTCCCTGACCCTTATACCAGTTCCTGCTCAGGGCTCAGAAAATTGTGATTCTTGAAATGGATCGGTCATTTCAAGGCCAGATTTCTCGCTAAAGGTCGGTTCTTGAAAAGTTCTTCCACGTTCTTCGAAACGTGGTCCTCGGCCGTCTGGCGAAGAAGTGATTCAGGTCGCGTTCTGAACCGATCAGCTACCGGTGAATGTTTCGCCCATCTCCTCCAAGGTATGCAGTGAAGTAACTTGTCTTCAATGAACTTCAACGAAAGATGAATCTATCTTAAAATTGCCAAAATTCTGGAATCACATAGCCACACTGCAGCTTGACTTAATTGCGCTACAAAATGAATTCGAATCGAATTCAAATCCTGGTTGGCGGCATAACATCTGTTCCTCTGAATGAGTGATTTCGCAGAATACTGAACTCTATACTGTAGCAAAGCCTTTCTTTTCTCAAGTGCTATATAATATATACTTTCCGAAAACATACGAAGAAATCTGGGATTTACCATCTTGTATTTTTTTTAATAATTAATTCAAAATGAAGGATCCAGAAATGATAAGATCTTTGCTTCAGCTACTATATTAAAAGGTGAAAGATACTAATGAAAGGGGTAAGAATCTCTGAAATCTATCAATTCTCGGCCAGGGGAGTATTTATAGTGAGTAACCATCTGTAACGCAAAGCAACGCTATCCAGCCATACTGTATGCATATCATTTTGGATGCAACGAGTGAATGTTTAGGCTACAGCTAAAGTGCTGCCCTCACTATAATTTGGTATAATTCTTCATCCAGATAGGATCTCTGCCTGTGAGTTACCAACTGGCTAAACTCGGTGGCTTGCTAATCACGGGCCGCAAGAATACGTTGGACTAAGCTTGAAGTTTACCTAGATATAAGGGCCACGAGCTGCCTAGTATTTAACACAATGATAATCGATTCCATTTAGGTGTTCCAATTTTGTTCATACCCTTTCCTATATTTCAAAAATAAGCATGATCGGTCGTTTGGGTGGGCTTTTACCAGTGATTTTCTCGTCTGGGACTCTGATCTGCATAGCGGTTGTTTTCAGTGGATGCAACTCGACCTCTGCACCTCCTAATCTGTACTTCATGAAGGTTAGTGGTCAACTTAATCTTTTGGAAGTAATATTACCACTCAACAGGTCAACCTAACCGGATTTTCGAGCATTGATCGCCTTAATCTCCGTCGTGGTATCAATATAGGCGGAGTGGATCCATCCACGGTGACTTCAGACGCTGGCGATATCGCAGGGAACGCAGCTAGTGCTGTACAAACGGCTATATCTCAGGCGACAAGTGCCGCAAAAACAGCAGCTAATGAAGCGAACGGAAAGCTTCAAAGTTTGGCAAATGACATTAAAACACAACTCCCAAGCTCCTATAATATAGGGATCTGGGGCGACTGCCAAGAGAATACACGTGGGGGAACTAATTGCACGACACCCAGTACTTCCTTCTCATTTGACCTTGAAAGCATCCTTGGCTCAGTATCTAAGGATGTCGCATCAATCATTCCGGGATTTGACAAGATCCGTGCAGCAAGCAGAACCCTATCAAGATGGTCAATTTCAGCCTATATAATCGGATTTTTATTAACCGCGGCTACCTTTGCCTTAGGAGTTGTGAATCTGATTTCTGCCTGGGGAAATGTCGTTACTGCATTATCTTCTTTCGTAAGTTAATTTAAAACCGGAACTGAATTAGACTAATCTAGCAAATCAGATCGCGAGTGTGTTCGTTATGGGCGCTGCAGTTGGTAGTACAGTGATTTAAGTCACTATGAAGGCAGCAATTCAAGCCGTTCTCAAAGATTTCGGCGTTGAAGCGAATCTTGGCCCACATATGTTTGCGACCTTGTGGCTTGCGGTGTCATTTTCAATAATGGCGACACTTACTTGGCTCATTCGTCTCGTTTGCTGTTGCTGTATCTGACTTGAATAACTATATGGCAAGACACTTGCATACTTCCAGCGAGGTAGAGACCAGGGTCCGGACTGAGTGCAGCCTCAAATAGAGAAGATTGGTTGATAAATGCTGAAGATTATAGCAAGTATTCGGTTAGAGACGTGTCGTATTTGAAATGGAATAACTTTGTCCCAATTTATCACAGAAAGACATCCTCTCTTAAAGTCCGCTCGAAGGGGCATCAACTCAAAAATTTCTCCATATCCTTGCATAGCTAGCAATTGTAAAATATTGAATTTACCATGAGATGTCCATGAGATGTCCTAAGACTCCAGGATCATCCTTAGGGTACTGTACTGAATACGAATTTTGATGACTTTTTGGGTTAGAAAAGTCATTTTTCCCAGCTACAGCATAATCTCGGCGCTAAAAGTAGGAGAACAACATGGAGAACAAATAAAGACGGCTTGTAATATACGATCATTTTTACTCTCAAGGCCCACTACGATTATACTCGACTTTTAACTTAGAACTGCTACAGAGGAGAGTGGAAAGCCTGACATACTTGTGCCATTAATAGCTACATGAAGTTCATGGCCCAGTAATATATATGGGATTAATATTAAGGTATGGCTAGAGTTTGCCAAGCGAGCACATCAGTACCATTAATATGGTGCTTTTGACTATGGAAAGGTGAAAATGAACATCGTTTATACTTAACTACCCCACTCTCGCAATTGAGCGCTGGGAATACTACAATCTTTGGTGTTACTCTGCTCCCTTTCTCTTAACCTCGTCCATAAAGGCTTCCTTCAGCAAACAAACCCTACAGTGATAAATAATGAAACAAACCCCGGACAACACCGTGAAAGCCCCGGTAACTGATGCTGTGACCATTTGAACCACTGACCACGAGTGAAGCCCACTCGTGTAGACGTTTATGAATGTATTTATAAAACCCGTGGCAGAATTTATGAGAACTGGTCTTGTTAATTATTAGTACTTCAAGAAAGATAATAAAATTTATAAGTTGGTCCTGGCTTACAGAAAGATTTTTGATTGAAGCCAAATAAAGTTGGGGTTCTGTCTCCAAAGAATTACCTGGCCAACACTGCCAATTAAACAACAAATCGCCGCAAAAGCTAGAAGGGGAATATTGAGAACAAGATCATAAGTGAATTCACCAATGTCACTTTGAGCCACGGAGGACCGCAGGGTAGTTGAAGTGCGCATTGAACTGAATGTGGTGGGAAAAACCAGGTACCCTGCAAGCAGAATCCAGGAAAACGTGGCAGCGAGTATATTAATTTTTAGCTTCGCATCCTGGTTTTCAAGAACCATTCGTGGATACTCTGCGGGAAAAGGGGAAACTCTCCCCTCCGGGAAAATAACCCTTAGATCTTGCCACAACTTGCGGAGTACGGCTTTGAATTCGCAGAGAAATCCTCGTTTATTGGAGCTGAGATCCATTATGTCTTGATAGTTACAATGAAGTAGTGGCTGGCTTCCCTTCTCGAAGGACTTATCTAGAGTCTGCTCAACAATTTTGGGACGCTGCGGGTTGAAAGGTTATATACTTATAATCATTTAAGCATCACCATGATCTTGCAATTAGAAAAAGAGATTGGCCCTCAAAATGGGTGGCTAAGGGGCCAATCAATATATTACCAAAACGCTCCAACGGAACTTTTTGACGAGAAATTACTGTAGCCAGTTCGTCACGTTGTTTCGAGCAGGCTATCGGCAGCGGTGAATATTGGTGCTTTAACATTGCTCAATACAGTAGTGTCCTAAGAATGTTGCGGCGCGTAGCTCCTTGAGATCTGCTCGAGAAGTATACCGCGTTGCGTCGTGATTTGACAGCCTTTGGTAAGCTGCTTTAAAGCTCCATTTGGTGCCGACCACGGCTATATAAGCACCGTTTGAGGGAAGCATTGACCGAAATGCTTGCTCAAATGCCCGTTGATGATTCCTATTGAATGCGGATTTCATGGTTGCGACGGATCTAGGACTGTGAGGCATGTGACTTGAGCGATGTCTTGGAGAGATGGTCATTTGGCGATAAGGGGGCACGTGCCGCAGCACACCCCAGAGATGTTTTCTTCCTTCCCTTCTCATGCTTAGTTGATTCGTTACAGGCCACTATGTTGGTTGACCACCTGAGAGGTTCCCGTCGAACCAAAACAAAGGGAAAATGCAGCATGCCAGTATGCTGTTCTCGAATCACAGTAAATAAATATCCAGCACGTCTGGCAACCGCTTTAAATACCCGTTTTGTTGTGTAACGAGTAGAGGCTAACGCTTGCCGGATGGCAGACGGTGGGCATTTGTTGTGAGCCCCTCCCTTATCAGGAACAGGCGCGGGTAGTGGCGATCGAAGCGTCGGAAACCCTCGGAACAAGGTTTGCACCCCGCTCCGCCAAGCGATGGCAGCTGGCAAGACACGGACTCAGTCGACACGTCGACACCGGAGCGAACAGTGGACACACGTAACAACCAAAAAAAGGAATATTTTTGAGAGAGGTGAAGCGCGATTAAAACGAGCGTCAGACCCAGAATGAAAGCTACAGGAGGAGATTTGAGTGCTGCCAGATCGACGGGTTGAACGCGACAACCCTGTCGCGAACTTGGGCCGTGGTGGCAGCCGACTCAAAGAAACCCGACTACCAGGAAAATTGCGGGCGCACTGAGAAAGAAGGAATGGCGGTCAAATAAGCACCCAAAACTCTCTTACCGAGTTTCGGGGGATTGAGACGATGTGAACAAACTTCGCCGATACCTGCCTATCCTCGCATTGAACACCCCACATCATCTTCTCCCAAGACATGCACGCGTATGTACCACCAGGTCAGATCCGTGATTAAATAAATTCAGGACTCTGCACCCACCAAGAGGGCCTTCCCCTGACCTGAAGCGAAGGTCTACAAACAACTTAGTACAAATTTCTAAGAAGGTATCACTACTCCGGTGATGATTTAACGTAATTCCCGGCCGATCAAGGCACCCCAAAACACATAGTGAAATTACTACTTCATATCTCAAGAACCATAGGTTGTTCTCATTATTCTCACATATCAAGAAGTAAGCTCCTATTAGCGTATCAAATAGCTTAGCTTATATTTAAGCATTGTAAATGATTATTTCGATGCTTTACCATAAAATATGGTATAATTTAGGTGGGATGAAAATATATCTCCACGAATCCTTCCAGGAACCTTCCTATATTTCTCTAGTAGGTTATAAACACTATAGGGAATACGCATTATTCAATATCTCACCATAAAATGATATGCTGGTTGAGATATGAAGAAGTAATTTATCGCAGTTACTACAGTATGTGTTTGGGTTGTCTCGATCGGCCGGGAATTACGTAAGTTCGAAGGTAAAACTAGGGAGGCAAAACAAATGTATTACTGTAAATTGAACCAAGGCGCACGTTAATGACTCTAGATGGTCAATCAATTACGCAACTAGGTCGGCTTAAATGATTTGATGAGCTGATTGAACAAGGGGATTGCCAATTAAGACTGTAGTCTGCGTAGGTAAAGGCGAGTCGTTATTGAAAGCAACCGTTTCCGTCCGATAACGTTCCGTCATGAAGCTGTAGTCTCCGAAAGATTCAGTGTCGTGGCACAGCGCATGACGGCAACAACTAGAGATGTAGCCCATATGCAATTTGGGTCTAGCGATCTTTCTTATTGGCGCCCCTGTTCCCCGCTATGTAATAATTCGGCCCTTTCGGCAGGACACATAACAACGGTCTGTGAGTCGATTAACTTCGTCCTTGGATCTACACCCTTCGCTATTCATCAGTGCCAGGGTATGCAATAGTTTTGTCCGAATCGACCAAGTCGTCTTTCTTAACAAAACCACACTGCTAAATCTAGCCGGACAGTTGATTTTGACGCGGTGCTGAACCCCTACTACGTCCAACTTGGGGCAGCTTAGACTCGGGGGATGCTTGCCCAATTTCCCAGATGGGACCGATGTTCCATTTGTCACCGGAATCTATTTTACCTAGCTTTGTGAAACGACATCGCATCGGAATAAATGATTCTGGAGCTTCTTTCTATTTTCTCATGTAATAGTAGTAATTATGGCTATCGTATTTATAGGGAGCTTGTTACAGTATACATGTGACGCGGGCATGCGGTCGCTTTTGTAATTCTTGTGGGGCTTGTCTTATTGGATTTCGGATACAGCCGCCGTGTAACGTTACGGCGTGCGCGGGGGCGTGGAACGTCCGATCACGGTTCACATACCCAAGGGGCCAAGACGGCAATAATGTCGTGCACAATACCCCTCTTCTGGTCCCTTCAGGCATTCCTGTGCTTCTCCTCCCTCTTGGTATATCCGCACTCAACAAAAGGGACTCACACTCTTGCTATCCTATAATCAACAGCTGATTGGCTACCTGCCGAATAACCAATCGGGAATATTTTATTCGCTTTGTCCGTGTGTAATTTATTTCCCTCTGTTTCCACCTTCGCCTCGAGCAATGGAAAGACAGGCAACCTCGGCAAAGGGACCGTCAGCTTCGACGCAAATTCCAGATGCCAGCGGGTCTGGTAGCCTCGTAGGTTATTTCCGGCTGGCTCGCGGGCACCTGAGCCGCCAAACGTGCGTAATACAAGACTCAGTGACCAAATGCAGGTGGTATTTTAAAACTGACCTTGGTTCTATAGCTATTGGGGTTCCTTTATCTTCAACATAGGTGCCTTTGTTCTGCCAGCCCTATATAGTACTCTCAGCAAAATATGGGTTGCAGAGATTGACTCTAGTCAAGTTGTGACAACTGACGTGTATACCTATATTGGAGTGATCGTCGAGGTTATAAATGAGGGTTTCCCTCGCTCGGCGTGGTTATTGATAGGGGATAATGCCACCCGGTCTATGCGCTCGCGTCTGGATCTGACGTGCACCATGATTGCAGCCACAGCAGTGCAGGGTTTTGTGGTCATGGTCATATTACTAATTCATCCGCAAAGTCTTGCATCGGCATTTGTTCCAGCTAAGGTTCGACAATCCTCAATGACGTACATTAGACTGTCTTCTGTCCAATTTTATACCTCTGCGATGGAAGCAGCCTTATCCTCATCGACACGGGCATTGGACAACCCCGATGTGCCGTTGGTGATAAGCTCGAGCAAGTTCATAATCAATATACTATTAGACCTGCTTATAATCTCAAGGTTCCGTGTCGGCCACTCAACGCCAACTGTCATCCACCAGGCCATCATTCGGCTAGCTTGTGACTGTCTTTCCGCTCTCGCGGGCTTATCATACTTCGTATTGATTATCGCACGTCGCAAAATAGATGCGAGCGATCGATGCAATTTTAATGTGAGCATCTCGGCGCTCAAGAATTTGCTTCGACCAAGCATTTACACCTTCATGGAATCTGCAATCAGAAATGCCATTTAACTCTGGATTGTGCATGAGATCGTGCAACTTGGTGAAACTTACGCAACTGCCTGGGGTGTCTTTAATACTATTCGCTGGGGCCTCATTATGGTACCTGTCCAGGCGCTTGAAACATCTACACTCGCCTTTGTTGGCCATAACTGGGCATTTTTCCGAGCGTCAAAGGAGGCACAGTATCCAAAGGCATCCCGCAAAGAGGTTTTAGGTAAGATGTAGTATGCGAAGGGATTTTTCGTCGGTACTGATAATCAAATAGGGATCTTGCGGCCTGCCCTTATGTCCTGTTTGGTCGGTCTTGTCTACGAAGTCGTTCTTTTCGCATCTCTTTCCGTACAAGGAGTTCAGTAGTTTGCATATTACCTATCTGGCTCGAGAACCGTAGCAAAAACCACTCAAGAAATGTGGAAGGTAAGTCCAATACTACGAGAAACTTTGAAATGGTACTAGTCACTGAAGCACTAAGGTTGTTGACTGGACCTACATATTCTACGGTCTGAGCTACCAACTTGCAGCTGTTCTCCTCGCCACATCACCTCGGTGGTATCTTTACCAAGCACTTGGTTCCAACATCTTTTGGATGCTTCCTTGGGCAATTTTAATTACTAAAATAACACTTCCACAATCTTCGTCGTGGACCTATTAAGCCATCATTTTCGGTGGGGCAAACGTTTTCGACTTCTTTGATGTCAGCCTGATAACCATGGCATGGCTTTATAGATTAGTGAAGGGAAAGGTTAAGATTACCCCGGCGGCGTCATCAGGAGATCCAGAAGTTGGACAAGGAAATGAATAATCTACGCGCCTCCACTGAAGAATATTTCGCATACGCTAATATTTTCCACAACGTTTTCGGTACCGATCTTATACTTTCGCGCTATCTTCGCGATAAAATCATTCATAACACTGTGTTTTCAACAACAAAGAAACTCCGTCACGCCTTTAAGTACAGCAACAGCGCGCCAACCGTGCTCTGGACGGCCTATTGGCTAGACTTTGAGATTGATGCTTCACTTTCTATGTCACATTAGCGCGCGTCTCCGGAGAAGCGAGCTTGGGAAATTGAGATGGATAGCATAGAGTTTTGCTTACCAGGACATGGTAACAACATTTTCAGAGGAGGTTTGTGGCTTCCTCTATTTGTATGCAGTCGCTTCTTTTGTGTTCGCTTATATTCAAAGGCTGCTCCCAGACCAATAGGGTTTGAAATTTGGTTCGATATACCCGTTGTTGGGGTTGGTGAGCAGGAATCCAGAGCATACTGAAGATTTTGGGTAAGCGTCTCGGCGGACGAAGACGTTCGGAATCGCATTATGTAGAGGAGAGAATGAACTGCTTTCTAAATAAAACCCTACGAAGCTGTGAATGGGAGTGCTAGAGATTTATATGTCAAGAAAGCGACCTGAAAGGGGTTTCCAGTATTACAGAATACTCAGACAGATTCTGGTTCCCAGGAGCAACGGAAACCAGATGGGTGTCTGACTCACTAGCGCAACCTTTTTCCTCTTCGTACATATCAAACTACTACATTTCCATTTGAAGATTGGCGGCATTTCTTATTCTAGGGAGTTGGATTTAAATGAAACTTGAGAGATGTGGCTATCACAGCCCATCAGATTGCGATCTCGGTTTACTTTGAACAAGGTACAACAGAACGCACACATTTCCTAGAAGTGATCGGCTGTCAGCGCACGGACATCCAGAACCATGCCGACGTGGGTCTGGGAAAACCCATGACCTTTACTTCTAAGATTGAGTAGTGTGCGTAGGAATGGCAAGGGATTGCGTTCAAATGGCGAAAGCGTGGGCCACCCGATCAGCCGTCGCGTTTCCTCATCAACAAACCCCTCGTTAGAGACTCGCCCTTCCGGAATATCGCCACAAACGCCTGTTACCAGACCTAGGAAGTTCCGGAAGTATTCATAAGCCGAGAAATCTTCGAAATAAAGGCTTCCAGAGAATAGCGATAAGCCTTGGATTATCTCGCGAGACCAAGACCGATCGGTGCGAGCTTCACCCGCGGTGAGAAAAGCTAGGTTGTCGAAAGAACACATGGTTTTGGTTGTCTTTGGGGCATACACGTGCAATTTTGTCGTTGGTGAGACACGAATGTCAGGAAGGAGCTCATTGGCCTCATGTTGGCTCAATATTAGCAAGTCATCATTGTGAGAATTGGATAAGACCCAGTGAACAGGTTTCAAGAATTGGTCATCCACTGTGGCCTTGGCTCGCTTAACAGTTTTCACAAAATCTTCTGAAGCATAAAGCCAAGCACCTAAGGATGGTGGAATATCAAACTGTCCAACAGAGGTTTTGCGAAGACCGTCGAATGCCAGACTGGCTGCAGATGTCCCATTGTCTGGAAATTGGCCAAACTTCACAAAGTATCGAATATCTTCATGCACATGATGAGAGAGGGGCTTTTGTTTGGGGGGTCGATAGATTTGCTGTTCTCTCTCTACTTCATGAGTGATCTGGCGTTCCTGTTCTTCGTGCAATGTCGGGCCGCCTGCGATCCCGACGCTAGCAAGCGACTCCACGAGAAGCTCGCGTACTTTAGGTTCGCTTGGATCTATGTACTCATCCAAAGTAAACGTTCCAGGCATATGAGAAGGATCGTAAAGCTCAGACAAGGTTTGCGCCTCAGCCTCCTCGATTCGTGCCACGACATCTTGAGCAGATGTACTTCCTTCGGTAAGCATGTACCATAACCTGTCCCTCTTGTAATGTTGCAAGCCTTGCGAGGCCCAAAGAGGCCTCAGGCTTTCCAAAGTATCGCATGTTTGCGTGAGTGTCCATTGGATGACGGAGAAGGAGTCCAATAATACAAAGTTTACTCTCATGCCATGTCTGACTTCGGGGGGAATGAAAAATAGTACAGATTGGCCAACTCCAAGGCCGCGCATTCTGCTACACGCTTAACAAAATGTGAGAAAGATATCATCCCGCATTCATATAGCCTGGAGATACTTACCTTGTACAAGTCTATCTTTTGTCAAACGAGGGCCCGTCGTCACGGCGGCTCGATAAGTTGATGGAAGTTTCAGATCAACACCACGCGCGTGTTGCTGGTCCAGAAAGACCAGGCATCTATGCATTCTTTGGCGAAAGGATGAGCACAAAAGTCTCTCAACGTGACCTTCTCGATCAATAACTGCGGCTTCATCATCTTCATCGAAGAAGATGGCAGCTTCAGCATCGTCGGCCGTAGACCGGGAGAGCCAGTGGTTGGCAACCCATTGATTACTTGACTCCAGGATTTGAGCTCCAACATCTATGATGACGTTTACTGGAGGATCCTGACACCTGATCAAATCAATCAAGTGGGTGGTAGAAAGTTGACAGCCGTTCTCGTCATGTGCTAAAACACACGCGCGGTTTTCTTTTTGTAATAGGCAACGTAGCACCATCGCATTTGTGAGCTGAAGATGAGGCAGGTCACGTTGAGGTATAGAGCTAGGGAGAAACAGGCGGTTGTCATTCGTCCCACTGAACCCAGTCGTAAGTGGTTGATTTTCGCGGGAAGGGATGTCCCAGGCAGATGCGCAAAGCTTCCGCGGAAATTCCTTGGCCTCTTTCGGGAACACGACATGGGAAAGATAATAGTCGATTATGCCTTTTTGGTATTGCACGTGAGGGTAGAGGACACTGCAGAAAACTTGTGCGTCTTCCAGGTTCACTCCGCTAATAACTCTCAGTGCTGGGGGGAGACAGCTCATGTCTTTGGAGATCCAGGACTGATACAGTACTGAAGGGTCATTCTCCTTTCCCAACAAGGAGAAGCAAAGTCGTACTTGCTCAGTAGTGAGACCCTGGTAATAGTAGCTCAGGCAAGTCAATGTGATGGCGACATCGGGGTGGCCGAACTCAGCATTCTCGGAAGGAATGCCTTTAGCCCGAAATGGGACAGCCATTAGACAACGGGAGGAATGTAGGCCATAATCAACCAGCCAGCGCTTACTAGCCAGGGAAAACTTCAAAATATTATGAGCGAACAGACCACGCAAGACTAGTAGTTTGCGGTGCAAAACGCCTCCCTGGAAGTTCTCCTGGATGAAATTTCTACACCCCCTTGTAGTGTCCATGAAGCGGATAAAGTCAAGCGCACTTTGTCGAACTCGTCGAGCCCACTGTTGAATTGGCAGGCCCGGGAGACCTTCCTCACCGATGATATCCAGCACATTCGCAATTATTTTGTCAGGCGCTTCTGGTTGCAGAAAATGGAAGATTGGATAACGAGTTCCGCTGCGTTCAACATTCAGGCAATTTGGATGCTGCAAGCTTAATTTCTCGGCTTCACTAGCAACCAACGCAAGCAAAGCCTGTGTGATCTCCCATCGATCACTCTGTCCGTCGACTGTCTGCTGGGTGCCAACTGTATAGACGAGTTGAAATTTGGGGTCAAGAACTTCATCGCTCTCATCGATAACGTTCCGGGAGTTGGTTTGCAGCCACCTTTCCAAATTTATAGCTTGATGGGCTAGTCTCGGATTTCCTTCCATCAAGTCCAAACCCACCAGGCGAAATGACAGGACTTGCTCCGGCAAAACTACTAGAACACCTCTTGTTCTTTGACATTCCAGATATATCTGGCGCAACTGGTCAATCATTGGTTCATCCAAAGGCGTGTCTCTTGCAAAGGGAATGTGATAGATATGCCGATCTAGCATCCCGCCAAGGCGTTGAGCTAGAAGATTCACGCTTTGTTTAAGAAGAGGCTTCAAGACGAACAACCGAAGCAAACAACTGGTATCCGCGAGCGTCAATGCAGTCATCGGAGTTATCACAGAAGTTTTTCCTTCACCCATGTTTAATTGCATAACCGCATTTGCTGAGCTTTCTGGTCTGATAATGTTCAGAGCCACTTGTGTCTGTGATTCGCGGATGGTGAGGTTGTTTTCAATCTCGAAAAGTAGCCAATCAGGGTAATCATGAGCATTCCATCCTTCTTGACTGACATTTTCTGATTCTTTGAAAAATCCATCAATATCGTCTCGATCGTAGCAATTTAATAGTCGTTCGGCACGACGTAGTGAGGCGATGCTGCTTGCAAATGTCAAGATAGTGGTTTTCCAAGACCCTGGTACTGATTTCCAACGATTCGCAGACAGAAGTGACAGGATTGAGAAACTGGTGATATGCGGCGAAAGAATCGATTCTGAAACGTCCTCCCAGAAATTTCCTGTCGACTTCAATGAATCTTTAATCATGGCCCAGAGCATTTCTCTTCGACTTTGTTGAAAAGCGTAGTATTCAGCAATGACGCTCCGCTCCACTGGGAGCGCTTTTGGAGGGCAAGGCAAGTCTGCTTCCTGGAGAGCCTCCAAACTCTCTTCAAGACTTTCGCCAAGCTCGCGCCGACATGCATTTAAACTTTCTCGGAAACCAAAAATCAACGACCGAAGTTCTGTATTTAACTCGGCACTGTAGCATTGTGGCGTGCGGTACCGAGAGAATTTGAGAGGTGGACTTTGTTTCGGCAGGCTAGGCGGATTGGAGGATGACAGAATATTCAAGAGCCCGGGTGGAGAAAACGGTGGACGAGGACAGAACGATTTTCCAGGCGGTGAGGAGGGAATTCAGATTTCGGTCACAAGCTCATTGTCGACTGTGGTATCCAAGTTTTCTTGAACCAAGCGAAGAAAGGCCAGAAATTGGCGATTCTGGTACCATTTCGTGCAGAGCAACGAGCATGCTTCCGAAGCTCCTGATTTATCCATCCGTTCAATCTCAGGCAGCTGAGGTACTTTGCAAGGCCATTGTCTTCTGATGGCCTCTAGGCATGACCCCATGTCGGCCTCCTTCTGCAGATCGTATTCCTCCTGGCGCTGCTTGCTCACTCTCTTTTGTGCTTTGGTGATTCTGATGATCGTGGGACAGAAGAAATGGCTGTAATTTCTTTCGATTGCTGCATTGACTTCTTGAGGATCGATTTCTTCGCCCGCTTCCAGGTCAAGGGCTTCTCGTTGACTGAACGGAATTGGAAGGTCCCGAAATATGCCAGAAAATGCGACAGTTAAAAGTGGATAAATTTGGAGTTCCTCCCTTCCAGAAAATGCAATCGTGCAAAAGAGAGACATGAGGCTGTATGAGTCTCTGCCTTGATCACTGGATCGGCAAAGCTCATACAGAGAACCCCATGCGTCTCTGAAAGACAATCTCAGTAGCTCTGAGCAGGTAAGGTCCTGTACAGAGGTCCAAGAGAGCCGGACACTTTTCCAAGACCCCACGCTTCCAAGAAGATCAGAGCATAGTGAGAGGCAAGGCCGCCAGTTTCTCACCAGGGTCGCGATTTTATAAACACGGTGACTGCGGTCACTCTGATAATCACGGTCACGAGACCTATATAATGTTGGCTGAGGTAGTTGACGTGCTGCACTACCGCCATATTCAGAACAGTGGAACTGTGAATTGCGAGAACGGGCTCTTTCGAGGAGATTTTGATCTCCACGATCTTTATAACAGTCCATCATTTCATCACGATCGGCGTCACTTACACCATGGAGTGTACAAAACCTGCTTGCATTATCCACGATTTCCTGTACAAGGACTCGAAAATCATCGTGCTGGGCTAGTTCGCCAAGATCACTGTTCCAAGACACGGTTTGCATGGACTTCAAATGACACGGGTAGTAGCGACGACGAGGGGTCAGGGTTGCAATGACTTTTAAGAGCGCAATTGTTTCGGAGCTAAGTGGAAACGAGGTTCTCAGGCATGCCTGCCCAAAAATTCGAATGGCTTCCGCAGTACCTGAACGCTCTGTTGCAGGATCAGGGAGAATATGGCTCGTAACAGCGTGCATATATGCCAGATAAAGTATCTCTAACATGTCGAATGACCCCTGTAAAACCTTCAAATGACGATCGAGCGAGTAGTGAAAAAACTTCCGATAAGATCCTTTGGGTGCATAGACAGTCACAGAAGTTTGGTGCTTGGTCTTGATTAAATGAACGCTTCCATAGGGTATCAGCACGGAGCGGCAACGTTTCTTGATGTCCAGTAGAACAAGCTTGTTCCGTAGACCATATAAACATCCGATATCTTGGTCGTGGTCAACCATTGCATTAAGTTCCTGGCAATCGAGCCCGCCAGCTTTGTTGATGATGAATTTTAGACGAAGACGGACCATGTCGACCTCCACAGACTTGCGATTGTCTCTCCCAGTCTGGATGACATGTATATATCCAGGATCATCCAATACCACCAAAACAACCATTAATTATTGGAAAAAATGGCTCCTTATGTCGATCAATGCATTATGACATCTGCTCATGGTTGAGATCCCTCCTGGCGCAGCGTTCATTAAGAGGTTCCAGTTACTCGACCGCGGGATCCATAGATGTTCAAGGGAGCGAAACTCGAGAGTCCCGGTCTCCAAATTGAGCCAATGCCCATAGTTCGAAACTAAATCATCCGGAAAATCTCCAGCCAAAATTTCGTGGGGGATAAGCTGAAGCAGCTGATGTTCGGCTCGTGCCTTTATTATAAGACCATTTGCGTTCAAAGAAAAGTGGATCTGCGACACAGACTTAATTACTTAGTAGTTCGAGAAAATGGCCAGGAAAACTAACTGAATATCCTTCATAAAGGATCGTCGACATAAATACTGACCCATTTAGATTTGAGGGCAGTACCGTAAGTGTTCGCTATAAAGTTAGCATGGAAGCTGGCAACTGAGGGATTATGGTGGGCCACATTCTCACATTGCCAAATATGCGCTGAAATGAAAACAGGCTAGTGTACTCCTCAGGAAGTCGACCTGGGGGACAGTTCGCTAGAAGAAGCTCACCACTGAGCAAATTGTAATGGATATCTTGTGGACATTCAAGGGGCCCAGCAATCGATTGGTTGGAAACCCAGCGCGAAAGTGTTCCCGGACATGTAGTCCACGAAGACGTAATCTGCAGATCAGGTATGCTCATATTTAACGCTTCATTAAATCCTGATGAATCATCCGCAATCATTTGACGGGCATGTTCTTCAAGGTAATGAAGAATTTTGGTTGTCCATATAAGACTATTTCCAAAGTCGAATGGGAGATGGTCACGAGATCGCGGCGTGTTCTCAAAAACCAAGATTGAGCACCTTGTCAAATGGAAGAGGTCGGAACGGTTATCTAGAACAAGCGGAAGATGCTGTGGCTCTACCGCATATGTGAGTTGACAGATACCGCCAATCTTAACGATAAGCAAATGCTGGGCTTCACTTTGCGCATCTGTTTGACTCTCCAGTCTTCCTGATAAAGCCTCACACCACTTCAAGCACGTTCTTCTGCTTCGACGCAGAAAAGAAACCGCTCTGTCAACATCTCCGAACCCAATGGACAAGCTTAGAGCACGAATTCCAAGTGTAACAAGAGTATGAAGCGTGTAATGCTCGTTCCAGTTGGCTTCAATGGAACTGAGCTTTTGTTCCAAGCACTCCAGCAGTTGGCTCCCTAAGCCATCTTTGTTAAATGATACGTGAGCTTCTCTTAGCTCTGAGTAAGGGTTTGGGCCCGTGAGCTCCCAGGCCGCTTGACGAAATAGCAAGCCTACCGCCTATTCATTCATTGAAAGTGAAGATGAAGCCAGCTCGCGGACTATGTTATGCCACTGCACTCTTGTTCCTGCACGGAGGCAGCCGAACGCGACGAATTCATGCAGACTAATCTCGGAAGGACAGTGCTGCTGGTCCGCTATGACATGGTTCTCCGAGTGTGCAGAGGAGTCGACAGTGTATTGAAGGCAAGAATATGGCCCTGGTGGGAGATGAAATGTACACCACTGCTTTACCGAAGGGTAATCTTTCTGATCTCCCACCCAATTGTTATCCTTGCTATCAAGAATTCGAAACCGGAACCCATTAGGTGGAGTGATGTCATTGAAAGCAATAGGGAAGTGTCGATTACTGTAGTGAGTTCTCTTCCAGGACTTCGCTGTTGATCCTAGAGTGAGGCGTTGACCATGATTCACGCAGAACTGCTGCGTATCTTTATATGAAAGGAGATTCTGCTGGACATCAGAACCTCGCTCGCTTCGCCATCGGCCAAGATCCTGAATTAATTTCCAAGTAATATCGCGCCACCATGCAAACCAATGTGGGCATTGTAGCTCGAAAACAACTGATTTGAGAATATTCTCATTCTCCGGGAGTGGCCATTCGTATACATCTATGCTCAGGTTTCTGGCATCACTCTCGATAGAGCAGCACGGGCACACCGCAGAGTGGCAATTTCTACCGCGCGAATCAATATCCCACTGGTGCGGGGTTCGAGAAGCCCGGTTCAAAAGTTCTTCGTAAAGTTGAGTCTTTCTTTGCCACTCCACTCTTTTCGCATCAAAGCTACTTCGAGCATGCCTCTCTACTAGCTCCCGGAGCCGTTGGTGTATCTCTGAATTATCAAAGAAAGCAACAGAGAATCCTGGCCGACCAGGGTCGGAAAAAATGCTTGGAACACCACTTGTTTGCTCTCGATTCCTGAAACGAATATATGTTTCAACCCTACTAGCTCTTTGCATTTCGCAAAAATGTGGTAAGAGCAGGGGCTCGAGAAAGTTATCCGGTATTTCAAGGGAGTAGGACCCCAAAAGCGGGCAGACAACAATGCACATTTTGTCTAAAATGACCCAAAGCTCCATGATACATACCATAGCCATGGACATGGCGTCCGGGCTATCGCTGTAAGCTTCGATAGCAAGATCGCAATAACTTTTAAGCAGCTCTCCAAGTAAACAGCACATATGGTCTGAAGGCTCAGTTGCGCTGTACCAAGAGCCCAGTGTGTGTTTGACCCAGCTCTCAAAGTCCGCTAGACATATAAGATCACCAATTCTCAAAATCGGCAATCCAAATCTGTTGAATTGGTTGCGTTGCTAGTGTCGCCGATCAAAAGATGATTGTTCGACTTCCGCGGGGTCAGCAGACATGGCAGACTCCAGGTAGTGTCGAGAATTTTTAAGCGATATATGGAAATCCTCAGGCACACAAGTAAACGATTTTGGTATGTGCATCAGTGACGATCTGGCAATCTTCTGCTGGGTACCTTGCAAAATGTCCAATATGGCTGTTTCCGCTTTTCTGGCATGTCACAGGACGAACTCGTAGGCTTCCCCCTCTAATTTGAGAAGGCGTCGACACGTCTTGACTCGGATGATCTCCAAGTGATCTGAAGGCACACTTGGTCGAATAAGCGTGGATAAAATTCCAAGCTCAGCCACAAAATATAGCATGAAATTATTGTATCGCTTTTGACCTTCTCCGTTAGGAAGAGCACGTAGAAGCACTGTATGAAGTGCAACCCGTAACACAAACCAATGAGGAGAACTTCTCCAAGGCAGCCTGCTACTTCTCCAATTGACGTCATCCCGCGTGTTTTTGTAAAACAGTGGTGCTGTGCTGCTTTCCCCAAATGCCAAAAGTTGGCTCATCAGGCCTTCGGTGACAAGACCAGGATGAGTGGTATCCCGCTCTTCCGGAACTGGTATTCCAGCTTTGTGGGACTTGAACATCATTTCTCCCACTTCTTCAGTGGCCAGGCGTGTAAGGCTTTTAGAGAGCTCTTTACAGAACCTAGCATCCTCAAGCAAACCACCCGGAAGGGCAACGCTCACACCAGGAAACTGGCGCGCAAGGCTCCCAGGAGCGGATATTACGTCCATTGCGATAGGCGACGCTTCAAACGCATCAATAATCACTTTGTAATTGCATTTATCGTAGTATGCCACCCAGCCGCAATTATGTGATCGGATGTATAAAGCGGCCGCCCCTATAATTGTCAGTAAGGCTAATTCTTCAAAACCAGGAGAGGACTAACACACCTTTGGATTTGAGGTCTGATATAATATGGGTCAAGGTATCTTGACAAACCGAACCCCGCTTGTCCACTTCTTTCCAATCTTGAAGCATGCCCACCACAATATGCCAAATCTCTTTTTCTTCTGGCGATGTCTCTGTTATGAAAGACTCCAGAGCTTCTTGAGCGAATAGGTGGAGGCTGCGCTCCGGGGGACAGCCAACCTCTAGTTCATCCTCATCATAGTGTTGTGGCAGCCGGGGGGGAAGAATGACATGATGAAACAAGTATTTGAAGATGTTTTTCGAAATGGGCATTTTGGGTCACTTTGATGCAGCAACTTGGTAGGGCGAATATAGATCGTATGGAAAAAGAATGAAGAAGTTTTTTTTTCGAATTGTCGTTTCAATTTTTTGGATAATTTTTGCTCCGTTTTCTACTTTCAGTTTTTTTTTTTTTGCCTGAGTAGTGGGTTGGTTCTCTCTGGTCTGTTCAATTATCGTAAACAAATTTTAAGGTTAACATTCATGTTCAGTTCAGTTATATTTATGGACGGCTGGAAGGATAGCGGCGAAAAACTTAGAATATGTATTGCAACCTAATCCTACATTTTAGATCGTTTCTATGATGCATGTACTGTATCTCGCATACTATAGTTTCTTGTATATGACAATGATGAACGTCACATGTTTGGATGACTTCATTAACAGACTCCAGAGCGTCGTATTCAACCATGCCACGGTTTCACTGCTTCCATGAAAGCTCCATGTAATGATAATCAAGAGCGTATGTGAGTTTCCTTTGAAGACGTATATTTTACAGAGTTATTTACGTGGAGGGCCATTTGGGTATCGTTTCCACGTTCCGTACTGTATCCTTTCTATGTTCCTTCATTCCAAAAAATGGTTCAAGATGCTTTAGTCAATCAAATGATCCACGTATGGCTGGTAAACTGATAACAAAATCCTCTCCAGGGTTGTAGCAAGCATATTCCGCTTCACGGCATCTGGTTCATAGTTTATGACGCTTGGATGGAATCCCGGTACAACCCAAAACTCATGGTCTTTGTATCTTATGGTTTCACACTCTTCTCCAAGTGCCTTGTCAATGGATGAACCAAGAGCACGAGCCAAAGGGTGATTGACGCTCCGCAGAAATGGGTATCTCGTGCATTGGCACGAGTGTGTAGCACATTGCAAAACAACGATACCTGGAGGCCTAAACCTCTCCAAGTAGTGTCCTATTAGTTCAAATCCTTGCATGATTAACTCTCCAAGCTCTGACCCTCGTCCATTTTCAATCATGCTTTCGAACCACTCGTCGCTCATCATCGGTAAGATGTCCCATATGGAAACATCAAATTCGATATCCAGACCGATCCTATCAAAGATCTGTTCAAGCCTCCACAAGGCGGACTCCTTCCCAAACATTGCGCGAAAGTCCTCTGAGTGGCATCTGCACGGGTTCAACATTAGGGTCACAGGTAAGTGACGGTAACCCATCGTCAGCCGAACATGATTTTGTAGACATTTTTCGGCTATCTGCAATAATCCCCAAAGGACCTTTGCTGATGTAAAGGCAGGATCGTCCGGGAGAATTCGGGTCTGACGATTGGCATCCGCAACCGGCAGAGACTCAGTTACAAGGTCTTTAACAGGGCGTTTGGTGCCTTTCAAGACTTCATAGCCTTCCAAAGATCCTGATGGTTGCATAGTGAGTTTTGTTTGCTATGTTGTTCGTTGAGAGATAAGACAATTGAAATGGGTTCAGGTTTCCCCTGCAGTGACTCGTTTTTAAACTTGCAAACTCTCTTCCATAAGATGTGACTGAAAATGTACGCATCACCCGCGAGTTCTTTGCTCAGGAACTTCAGCTGAAAAATGTGGGGTGCTATCTCTCCCAATGTAACCGTCCTTGGCTTTATTGCCCGGATTTATTGGCTACTTCTACTGTAACTCTCATCCATGCATTGCTCTAGTTACAACCGCTGTTGGTGTGTAGGGTTTTTGACGAAAAAGTGTGTTGATGATATCATACAAGGAGCCATAAAGGTAAACCGCGATTTTTCTACACACCTTTTATGGCCAAATGTACGTGTATTGTCAGATATGGGCACAATTGCGAACCAAATTTCCTGTCATCTTGAAATTGGATGCTGCCAAGTGCCTTGTCGCCAGCACCATGGCAGCCCTCTCATCCGGAGCCATCTGAAAGGACTGCAGTAACAAATTAAGAAGTACGGTTTAGAAAAATACCATGGTGGTTTTTTAGTTTCCATGAACGGTTTGGTCTGCCAGGGTGATAGAGGGCTTAGGGCAATGGCCTCCAGGTCTGCCTACTTGGCTTTCTTTGCTAACTCTTGACGTTATTCCACCGGTTTTAGGGCCATGATAAGGTATTCGATATTGCATGATGATGTAGACACGTAGGGCGTAGAGTTTTCCATCGACGCTTCAGCCTTAGTGGCAGAGAACCGAATATCTCTCATTTTCCAGGCGAGACGGACGAGCTCGGTGTTTCTCAACTTCGGAACAAGACCTAATTGTTACATTCGGGCTCCCATCTGGGGGCAATGGCCATTCTTCGAGATATATTCTGGCCCCTCATTAGAGCGAATCAGTTATGTAGAGGGGGTAGTCTCAAGACTCAGTTCATACTATGAATGGTGGTAGGTGAGTCGATTAGGTTGCACTTGAAGAATGCGAGGAAAGCATGCGAAAATCAGCCGCTCGCCCGCCAAAAGCCCTGCTGGTGTAACATGGACACGGAAGTTCTCAAATCCTACGTTGCTGTCTATCCTCGTTTACGACCCTACGAGATCAGAAGATTTCCAGCTTTAATCTGATCCTTCAGGTTCTTCCTCTCAGCTCAAATGCAGGTAATGTTACACTACATACCTCTCGCCGGAAAGTCGGGTTGCTAAACTTGATCAAAAGAACCTCCTCATGGTTTCCTGAATCTTCGATCCCAGGAAGCATTCATTGTATGCTGTAACCCTTCCTTCCACACGGAAACTCGTCCACTCAAGTGGCAAACCGGTGCTTCCTCAGAACTACATGAGCGATCAATGACCTACAAGATCTTCCCTCGCGATACAAAGACTGCAGGAATTACCCAGCCGGCCATTTTCTTGGATTTTTATGATCAGCGTAGAAGGCAAAATTTACAGAAAGAATATTACGGTGACATGTACCTGGAATAATAACCTGACGGTATAGACGAAGAATGTCGCCCATGCGGCATTTTTAACCTAGCGGTGAGCACGAAAGCAAAAGGGGAGAGTCAAGGTTTGGCAGACGTTAGCACGGCCGTGGTGTTCCCAAAGCCGAATGTAAGGGGCATCTGTAAGGGGTAGCAAAGAGACGGCGGAAATAAAGCAAGTTGAAAAGAGAAGAGCGAAACTTCTAAATACTCACCCGCCTATCTTCATTTCTACCACACCATTAGACGATTTCCCATCACGAACTTGGGCTGTTCAGCTTTGAAGTTACCATGGCCTTTGATTTGGCACGAATCGAAACCATCGTCGTGGACTCGGTGGCTCTCCTTCGGTCTGTTATAGGCGAGGTGATGACTCTCCGAACTGATACCCCATCACTTTTCATCGACCTGGAAGGCTATCAGCTTGGTCGTCATGGTTCAATATCCGTCATGACCATTTACGCGCCCCCAAAGGAAAAAGTTTATCTCGTTGATATACACCGACTGGGAGCTGACGCATTTTCTACTGTTAATGTTGATGGTAAATCCCTTAAATCCATACTAGAATCGTCGGTCATCTTGAAAGTTTTCTTCGATATTCGACATGACTCGGATGCCTTATTCAGCCATTATAGTATCGCCATTGGCGGTGCTCGAGACGTCCAGTTGATGGAATTGGGAACAAGAACGGGCTCCAAAGACTTTCTCGCCAGCTTAGCAGAATGTGTCGAGAAAGACAGCACGATTTCTGCAAAGGAGAAAAAGACATGGGAGATGACAAAACTCAATACTCGACGACTGTATGACCCCGCGCTTGGAGGACGATACGAGATATTCAATGATCGTCCTATTAAACCGGAAATTGTGAAATACTGCGTGGGAGACGTTGCGTTGTTACCGGGTCTCTTCATTGCCTACAACACCAAGCTATGTCGACCTGGAGAGAAGTTTTGGGAGGTTCAGATACTGGAAGCAACCAAGAAGAGGATTCAGCTTTCGCAAAGCCCAAATTTTGATGGAACATCTCAAGCCAACGCCCGCGGGCCTTGGACTAGGGAGGCTATTGAAGAAGCAATTAACCAGTGGAATGACGACATCATGGATAATGCGATGAATGAGGAGGGTAGTGATTTTGATTTTGACTTCGAGCCTATCTTTCATGACTTCGATGACGACGACGACGACGATTGGCATGACGACGGTCCGACCAGCTGCAGAGACATTATCCCTGACTGTGACTACCATTACTACTACTCTGATTAGGATTCTGGGCTATGTGATTTAGGACCGCATCGTTCCTACTTTTCCTCACTACAGCTAAACGCTGCACAAGAAATAGCAAACTCTTCACGAGGTCGATCAAATGCCGTCTGTCTGTCAATTACCAATACCTTCCTGTTTATCCGTCTTGCTGTACTGTACCGTTGCGCACTGCGCCAATCTAACTTAGTTAACCCCATTAAAGCGTAACATACCGTTAACTTACCATGTCGTCCCAAAAACGAATCGATCTTGTCACTCAGATCTTACATATTCAAAAATTATTTTAGAAAGGAACGGATAGGATAAGTTGACGTCTTACATATTCGCCATCCGCTGCGGCATGTGTACTTGCGTACCACGCACACTTAACCTATCGGGTAATGATACAGTCTCGAGATTAACACTCCGAAGGGAAGGAATTAACATCTGTTGATTCGCTTACGGAAACAGAATAGGTGGCCTGTCGCACGCCACCCTTCTACAAAGTATATTACGAGTAGATTTGCCGTCTTAGAAAGTTGTATAGGACCTTCGCTTCAGGTTAGGAGAAGGCCCTCTCGGTCAGAGTCCTGGATTTAACCACGGATCGGGCCCGGTGGTACCAATCCTTACGCGTCCATGTCTTGGGCAGAAGCCCTTTCAACAATGCGGTTTTGATGCGGGTGTTCACTGCAGGCATAGGCAACTATACACCATTTTGCGGACGTTTGTAAGCTATGTTCTTTAATTAACTCCTATACTTCATTAAGTTCCCAGAAGCCATCTAAGTTGACCAATTTTGATGACTTGGATTCATCATAATATACAAGGTGGAATAATCACAATTGGCGGGCGAAGTTGACTCGTGGAATTGACCTAAATAAATATCCGACCTTTGATGTCTGAGATGTAGAGAGAGGGGATTTTTCGGGGTAGAAAATGTGGGTTGGAGTGTGAATGTACTTGATAGGTTCATGGATCAGAGAGGCTGAACGGGGTGATGAGGAGTTGATGATACAGTACCCCGGTGGGAGCCTGTTCAATAGAGATCGTCGGACGCCAAGGATAGGGAGTAAGCTAGCAGAGATACCTGTCATCTGATGCTCCTAGGAGCTAGTCACGAACGAGCTTCTGAAGCGTAGCGGTGTTGAATGTCTCCACTGTAAGTGTAGGAGAGCGCTATAAAGCTGCATTTCCTCTATTTTGCTTCTTCATGCCTCTCAACTTCGAATTTCCCGTTCTAAATATCCAAGACTAGTCGTCCTCGGTCTCTCCATTTCACTCGGCTCTAGTCACATTACAATGTCTTCCCCTTCGGCTATTCTGCCAATTCAATTGGATGGGCCTGCTCTGCTACGTGGCTTTTTTGGTGAATCAAGTCATGTCTTGACCGCGATGAAGAATACAGGTGCTATATTGGCCGTTGAGCCTATAATGCAGGCACGGGCTACCATATACATAGCGTCGATGTCCTCGCATTCCTCTGGCACGGTTTCTTGACCACCGACGCTTCTTATCAATCCGATGATGTGTGTTTTTCCCGAACTTGAAAATGTAACTTTGATTGACGCGACAGTTTTAGGAGACTTTTGGGTCACTATATCGCAGACCCATCGACGGAAAAACCGTCACGGTGTATATTCTCGGATCAGCCAAAATTTCTTTCTTTGCAACTCATGAGATATGTCTAATCACCCCTAACGCTCTTTACTACCCTTTCGGCTCTACCTCCGGTGCGAAGACCACGGTTGTTTGTGGTCCATTGAGAGGACGCTGGCAAATTGAGGAGCTCGATACGCTCCGAAGCCAAGGATGGTCCGTTTATCACTATACTGATGGTGACCTTGTCGAAGACAATTCGAACCTCGAATTGGAAGGGGAGCTTTGCTTACAGACTAGCCGTCGTTTCCTCGATACCCACTGCATTGTGAATGAGCACAAGACTGAAAGTGCGGGACGATGTAGGAATTGACGTTCATTTCTATGACTGCTGTATATGATGAATGGTCTGGCTAGTTTAACGCATTATCAAAGCGGGGCAGGGCGGGGGGGGCGATCACAGTCTCTTTCCATTGGTTAATTGTCATGGAAAAGGGGAGAATATTGTTGCAGTGACACAGGATTGGTCCATATCCAACCCAGTTTCCCTGTGTGTGTTTGTATTTGTCGAGACATGGAGCGGTAACTTACCGCTAAGACAGGGGTTATACTCAGTGACCCACTTTCCTTTGTGTTTTGTACAGTAATTTGGTATATTTGGCATTACGGTTGTCGTAACACCGTGTACTCTAGCCATACATGGGGTATTTCAACCTGCCCCATGACATTCGTTCTTTCTTCAATCAATCAACCTTTGCATCCAAGATTGGTTCCGCTGGCTCCTATCCTCAACCTCATTCGCCTACTAGGATTACTAGCCATTACTGTCGCAGCTTGCTCCGACAGTATTTAATATGCGGGTAGCACCTCGACATCGGTATTGTCACCAGAATACTCGGTTACACCGACATAGGACAGCTCAACCTGCCCCTCTTCCCATTCGTTTGAATGGTTTCCTTTAATCAAACAGTTTTTACCTGATAGTTCCGGTAGTTCTCATTCGTCCATATGTAAATTAGTCTATACCGATTCAGCTGGATTTGAAATTATTCTGTAACTCATATTTTCTATTTTGTATATAATATCAGGTATATCTAGCAACTTAGAACAAGTTTACTTCCTAGTATTAAGCATCATCACAATTGATCCTTTGAATTAGCCTACCCATTTTCTCCTGAATGTACCGAAATCCACACTCTGACCACTCGAATTTGAGGTCAATCCTGAAGACTGACCCAAGCGGGCACTAAAGGTTTATAAATTGACCAATTAGCGTGAATCCAGAGACCCAATTGACTCCAGGTGTATCAATTTCGGTGAAGTTAGTATGGTCGATCGGTTGAATTCAGCTCGCAAAGTCACGGCTGAATTACCCATCAAAATTTAGCTAGCTCGTCCACCCAAACTCGCTGGGTAACCTGAATTTTATGCTTCAGTCACAAAAGGCGTTCTCTGCTTTAATTAAGCCTCTACTGTAATTCTGCCTGCGAATAGAAATCTCAGTTGTTAATTGATGGCTGACCTCCATAACATGTGCCTCAGTTTTTAAAAACAAGAAACCAGCTATAGTCCATCTTTAACTCTCCCTGTCCGGTCTGTATACTTCGAAAAACAAACAAATACCCTTCGGCTAGTTAGACCCGAAATCATCTCCTATATGGCAAGGGGAACGACAGGTTACTTAAATTATCTAAATAGTCAGTGGTTGCTTGAGACTGTCTGGAGGTCTGCTTTCCGTCAGCCTTTTAAGAATTGATTCCCATTTCCAAGGTGAGCTGAGCACGACCTTGAATTGCTATAATCCATGCTACCTTGACGAATACGAGCTCACCCAATCCATCGGGTCTTCAATATCGAAGATTTTGACCTGCGCCAAGTCGAACACGATGCCACTGGACTCATTCCCACCGGAAATTATCTCCATCGTTGGAAACCATATAGCGTCGATAAACGACCTTTTCAACTTCCTTCGATCTAATCGATGCCTCTATAATGTCCTTATCAATAGCCTTTATCGCAGGAATGCCAAAGCTGATGGTGGATCTGCTCTTGTGTGGTATGCAAGCCAAGGGAGCGAGGCTGGAATTCGGAGCATGCTGGTCGCTGGTGGGAATATCAATATTCGAGAACCAAAGCAGGCCCAATCCACAGCTCTGATGGAGGCTGTACGTCACAATCATACCGCTATTGTGAAAGTTCTCCTGGAGAATGGAGCTTTGCCTGATGCAGCGGACCTTCACTCCAGAAGACCATTAACTTTATCGACAAGTGCACGCAGTGAGGTGGCTATTACCAAGTTGCTTCTGGATCATGGTGCTAATATCAACCTTGTTGCATTTGATAAACGGGCACCACTGGTGGAAGCTATACGGTCTAACCAGGATGCCAAGGTGAAATTGCTTTTGGACCGTGGAGCCGACATTCATATCACCCACAGTCGAGATGCAATGAGCCCGTTGCACGTTGCGGCCGCAAGAAACGCCAAACCCGCAATCATCAAGGTGCTTGTAAATGCTGGTATATATGTCGATGCTCCAGATGGCCGTGGAAGGTCCCCCCTTCAAGTAGCAGCCATGCATTCCAGTACGAGGGCTGTGCGGTGGCTACTGGATTGTGGTGCTACTGCGAACTTCGAAAATATGATCCCAAGTTCGAAAGGCTGGACTGCTTTATTTTACGCTGCGAATTCAAAAAACTCAAGGAATGACAACAAAACCATCATCAAAACACTCTTACTCCATGGAGCCAAGATAGACATGACCAATTTTGCTCAAGAGACGCCCCTACTCCATGCAGTCTCTCGAGGAGCGACAAAGCAAGCTCAGATACTTCTTGAATATGGCGCGAGTATTACAGCAATAAACGCCAACCAGGAGACAATATTACACCTGGCTGTTTCGTCCTGGAGTTGGAGGCCTGATATGATAAGATGGCTTGTGGAAAGAGGAGCTGAAGTGAACAGGGCCGGTGGTAAGCGTAACGAAACGCCGATCTTTTACGTGATAAGATGCGGTTTAGGGTTGGAAAGGATCCAAAATCTTGTATCGTTGGGTGCAGATGTGAATTTCAAAAACACGAACGGCCTCACCCCTCTGTCTCTTGCATCAAGTATGTGCTCTGCCGAATTGGTACAGTTACTGCTCGATTCTGGTGCTTCTGTCAATTCAAGGGACATGCAAGGGAAGACACCTCTGCACCATATTGTTGAAGCAAAATTCGGCGCCGCATCAGAAGTATTAGAAATTGTTTCACTTTTCGTGCAATGCGGTGCGGATGTGAACTCCCGGGATTCTTCTGGATATACCCCCCTGCATAGAGCTGTTAGCAAAGAATGGATTTGGGAGACTGCTGGTGAGCTAATAAAGGCTGGAGCCGACCGGTGCGCCATGTCCTATGACGGAAAATACCCATATGATATGGTTAAGGAGGGGCCTTGGGCGGAGACCCAACGACTTTTTCTCCGTCACTATCCTGTTTGACTTTACGCATTTGGGATAGTAGATGTGTCAATGACTAGTAGCAAACTACAGTACTACAACTACTACTACGTAATGTTCCCCATATTCCGGAGAATACAAGAGTGTTCTCACTTCCGTTGGCGGTGGAGATCTACAGTTACATTAACCCTATGAATTCACGTTAATATAGAAATTAGAACTCTTGCAGGTGGATGCAACTAAGAACAGCAGTAGTGTCTACGCGTATCCATTCTCAAGGCTAAACTTGATGGCCAGTAACATAGTGTTCTGTCAAGTGCTAGGTACTGTAAAGTACTGAACTTGAAGAACATCGAATATTGTAACACGTTGTAGTGAATTATACGTGTGGTTTGGCCCCTATGCAACTTCTTGATATGATCAAGGCTGGTCATCCCCAAACCCGTAATTGTTACAGATTTCCCAATTCTTCTATCATGGCCCTACCTGTAGCTTCAGCATATGCAGTCTCAAAAAAAGGTCTGGAAACTGTCGATACCACGTTCAATGAGATTATGTTTTCGCATTTAATAGCTTTAGTAGAATTAATGGTCACGGGCTCATAATGGATTAAGGACAGTTGGAGATTTAGGCAATCAATTTCCATTAATTTATATGGAGAGACTTCATTAAATTATCCCGCACAATAATTTGAACTTTTGAGACTTATGAATGGACATTAGTGAAAGTTTGGAAGAGTTAGCTTGTTTTATGAAGCACAGTGTTTTGAATTAGAGAATTTCAGCTTTGCTTAGGTTTTGCCCACTCTATGTTTGAACGTTTAAAGTTGAAACTCCATTGTTTAACCTAGGATAGACACAGGAAGTTATTCTTGAATTGACTAGTGATTGATTATACTCAGTTGGCCGCTTCAACTGACAACCAGAATCTCCGCGGTAAGCTTGAATAGTTGCTCATTTCAATATGTGCTTGCATTTTTTGGTCAATTTTTGCTAACCTTTTGATTAATTAAGGAAAAGACTTTTGCTTCTGTTAATTTATGCCTATTTCTTTGTGTTTCATCAGTTTTCTATCTATTAGCAACTCTATGTATCAATGTCAAATGTAAATTCTAGTTTGCTCGCCTAGGATAGTCAAAGTAAATAATGGTGAAATTCATTACAAAACCCAACTCAGACATAAAATATTTACGTCGATATCGACTGGCGATATCTCGTGCCATTTGCCATGTTGATCACTTCGCCTGATTATCGGAATATTCTTGCCGATTGCGCACCTTTCACACGCAATATGCATAAATTAGGCTTATATTTTGCTCAGTCTTTGGTTTCCGTTTCCTCTATTACGGCCCAAGTCGTCTCCACATTGCTTATCTTGAGTAGTGGATCTTTTGGAACACATCCTTCTGTGAGAAAAACAATGGCGGTGACTAAGTCCTAAGTAGCGACTGACAGTTAGCATCCCATGCTTGATGTACGCAGTCTTGCGCTAGGATGCGTTTCCAATGGTGTGATCACCGAGCGCTAGAATAGGGGATCCAGCGGTCCATTTCCAACTGGCCCTAACAGATACCTCTATCTACATGAAAAACTAAGTTTGCCTTGAAAGAATGAACATCATTCACTTGATTGCGTACGTGGTACCAGCTGGTGCTATGAACAGTAGCGATCGCTGTCTTTCTCTACTGTTCTTTAAATATGTAGAGATGCGTCTTCAAAGGGGCATATTATTGATACAAGTGCTCCAAAACCAAACCGTATACGATTATCCTTTACGAGGAGGCTTAAAGAGCCCGCTAGAGATGTTTACCTACAGGCCAAGGCTACGGCAATCTGGGTACCTGGGGCCATGACAGATTTAGGATGAGTGTTTTCTGGCCCATGTTGCCCCAAGGCCGGATAAAACACATATCCAGTGCCTCGAAGCCACCCATGTAATAGAGCTGTAGAACTGTGTCCAAGTGGGCTTCAAGTCCGGAGGTGTGGGTCCGTTGTTCGGAATCTGTGGTGGGATGGCTTTGGCTTCAAATCTCGTGACCTAGAACAGTTGATTTGTGGCCATTGCTTAGCGGCAGTAGACGCAGATCCACTTTGGACGTAAGTCCACAGCTCCAGGTCCAATGCAGCCCTCAAGCTGTCAACTGGCAGCCTGTACGGCCAAGTAGCCATGCGGGCCACATGTCTGCAGACTACAGTCTATACGAGCCACAAAGCTATGGAGTAAAATCCCAAGATAGATAGACTGTTCAATTCCGCTGCTTGCGTTTCGCCGGCCTATCATCATCAAGCTCGGCTTGGATTGCCCGTGTGATCGCATCCATCGTCGCTTCACTTACAGTCAGATCGTCGCCGAATGTCATGAAAACCGTGTTCGTGCCATCTTCAATCGCCGCATCGAAGCACTGCCCAGGGGGTACCTGCCGTAGATTCTGGTCGTAATAGGTTGCCTTTTGTGCCTTCGCTTGCTTAGCTGCCATTCGCTCCACTGGAGAAGGGTCCGCCGGGTCGACAGCCATTTTGTGGACTAAGCGATTCCACTCGCCACGTTCATCACGTGCACGGAACATGATTGTCACCTTTGAGCTCTTGGTCGCACCACTTGCTCCTGGTCGCGGAGACCTGTCTCGCTCCTCCGGCCACTTCTCTGACTCGGTTATGTCCATTCGTGCGCGCGTATCGGCGTGTGTGGAAGACTCTCGTACTGGTGATAACGGCGGACGCTCCGTCACAATGCCTTGTTGTGTAGCATCTGCGATACCCTGAACATCCGGCAATGCGTTCGGGGTTACAGACTCGGACGGGATATTCGTCATCCCATAGCGTCTGGAGTTCTCATCGATAGTGCGCGTAATTTCTGGCTGTGTTTCGAACACGACTGGCCCTGATATGTCTTCCTCTGCCTGTTGGTGGTCCTGAGTCGGGCCGTCTTGAATAGCCGCTGGCGATGAACTCTGCTCTTCGTTCATTCCTGACGGAGGAAGATTCTGTGCCTCGAGGAAATCAATCTCAGTAATAGGTCTTAGTGTCTGTTGTTGGGCAACTGTTTGTAGCAGTGCGTTTATATCCTGCTCCAGAGTTTCTTGGGGCGGCGTGGTCAGCTTTGGGGTTTGTCGGCGCCGCTCTGTCTGGTCATATGGTTTAAACTTCGCCCTCTCTCGCAATGCTGCACCCTTTCCTCCCATACCCCTAGAAGGTCCCAACTCGTTTCTGGATTGCCGACGTCCTTCTAATCTGTCCAGTGCCTTTTGAACTTCTTCCGGCGGAGAAAGCTGCGCTGTTTCTGTCGCTTTATCCTGTTGTTCACTGGCATGCTCTTCCATGCTGGCATCGTCCAGGGACTCCCTCCTAGCCATTCTCTCTTCGCTTCCCCTTCGTAGCTGCTCGCCCTCAAATCCTAACTCAGCATGACCTTCTGACTCTTCATTTTCGCTGAAAGGCTGCTCCCCCGGAATGGGTTCCCGGTGTTCGAGTTCATCCGCGACAGTCGGTTCCATGTCTGGAAGATTCTGCTCATTTCCGCCCATTAGACTGTCACTTTCAGGTGACCTAGACTCAGTCTCGACTGTCGGATCCAATGCCTCTTCCAGACCGCTACCTTCCGTAAGAGTGCGCTCAATTTCCATATCAGACTCGGGAGATAATGTTGACAAGTTTCTGGAAAGAAATATGGAATGATGGTCGGAATGTGAAGATTGGTGCCTTCGTTGCTCTCGTCGTTGTCGTCTCTGTAATTTCTTCGCTCGCTTCTGCTGTCGTCGCTCTCGACGAGCGTCTTTCAAGCGTTGCTGTTCTAAATTTTTTTCCCGTTCGGCTCCTTGGTCTACTATTCCCTCTTGCGGTGAACGATTACTCGGGACAAAAAGCGGAGACATTGGCAGGCCGGTAGTTTGGGATGCGCCTGTTGTGTCGTCATTCACGATGGGCACTGATAACTTGCTGAAAAAAGTGAAGTAGACGCTCCTCCTCACCAAAATGGAAGTCGCCTTGCGTTCCTCTTTGATGAAGTCACCGTGAATTTTATCAATGAAAAGAAACTGACAATCATGCAATTGTGCTTGGGTTTGCGGATGTCCACATCGAGACTCTTTTTTGGTTTCCCTTCCACCAATGCTTTGCACTGGAAGCTGATGGTCAAGTGGGATCGCCCTCAAGAAGCACTCAGTGATTTTATTGATCAATAACTCAGCTTCTTCCTCGTTGTATCGATAACGATCTGGCCGACGGGCTCTCAAAAGGGCATCTTGCGCGATTTTCCGATCCGGCGACTGCTGGATGAGCTGCTGAATCTGCGGCGATTGAAAACCAAGCTTCTTTGCAAGTATAGCCATGTCATACAGTATCACTGGATCCACCACCTGGTTGGTAGGCTTCGCCGTAGGGTCTATTTGCCGTGGTGGTTTGGACAGCCTTGGATAATGGCGCATGGCATAGAGCCATAGCTGCCGGTAACCAAGCTCGGCGGGGTCCCCCTGAGAGTGCGAGTAATACCGAAGTCCAGTTTCAGATGTCTGTAATAAAAACTGCGCATGGGCGGGATTGAAAGTCGAAAATGCCGCGCGCATAGCACTTTTGATAGTCGGGCATGATCTAGAAGGTGTGATAAGTCGTTTGATGCAATTAGCACAAGATTCTAGGTACCAGAGATCTTTGAAGAATGTATACAGAGATGGAATGATGCCATCTGTCCTCTTCAATCGCTTCCAAATCGATGAACGTTCTGATCCTGTGAAATTTGAAAAGACTTCTCCGCTGTGTACAAGGCCTTTAACGGTGGTTCTGTCTTTTGATGAGACTCCGGGTGCCAGCAATTGGAGTTTTTCCACGGAATGGGTGTCAATTCTTAGCATTTTAGCATGATCGTGTCCCACGAGCGAAGACCAGTATTGCAGTAGCCTAGTTAGTGCATGAACTATCTCCTGCGAATGGAATCAGCATCGCTTTTGTTTCAAAAGTTAAATGGACTTACCTCGTCGCAGCAAATGGCCAGTGCTTGAGGAAGAGACCCAATTTGCATTCCATGTATCAACAACGACGGAAGCACGAGCAAAGAATCAAAAGCAGCTCGGACGCTTGGGTGGGACTCAAGTCCGCGAAGCCGCCTAACTTTGTTGTCTGACAGCCGCGCCAACCATCGATTTTCGAAATGTGCATTTGCTTCATTTCGATATTGTCGAACTTTCACGTATATTTCCCCATCACTTGGCACTCTCTCATTAGAATATTCATCAACAAGGCTGATATGAAGACCTGGGCTAATGTCTTGGAGTTGTCAGACCTGACTTATGGAGGAAAGGATTTGGTGAATTTCCAGCTTACCATCCAAATACAGGTCAACAGTCCACCATTGGTCAATGGATGGTAAATAATGTTCTCCGGCCTTCAACCGATGTTGGCCGTGAAGGAACCTTATGGAACCAGCGGAAAAATGGAGGTGTGGGTAGCCATTCGGTTGATTAGTCGGCAATTCAGCGAGGTTTACTCCTGCGGCCTGTGAAGCATCACAGAGATGCTGCCTTGATACAACAGCGCTAACGTGGTTATATATATCAAATCTTCGACAACCTTCTCTGTCAAAAATCTCACAAAGTCTTTTCACATTCTTTGTGTTTATATGCTGCGAGACAGATGGATGGGGCGCCATCTCATTGATGTTAATCTTCACTGTCCCTTGGTATTTCTGACACCTTTCTATCTGCAACTGTGCCTCGGGATTGGCGTATATAGTCTCGTCCATAGTTGTTGATAAAGTAGGATTTGGTATTTGTTTAGCAGGAGAGCGTTCTTTATATTCAGCTGGTCGTGGCCTCACAAAAGAAGGGTCCACCCGATCCGTGCAGATTCAGTGTCCAGGTTGCCAAATGAGACTGCGAGGCGGAGTTTGTTCAAAACATAATTAATTCCATCGATGTCATTCAGATATAAATATACCACGCTTCGCCTTCAAACACGTATCTTGCTTGCTACCTTGTTTCCTACCATGGTCCCCATATTCGACTCAAATATGTCGAAACTAGACAAGCACTGCACGAAGGTTGACTTCTCGAGTTTCACAGAACAGTTGGCTAATAGTCCGCCACGAGAGGTAACCTCGAGCGAACAACCACACCAGCGTGATGTGCCCACCCAATTGAACAGTAATTCTAACTCCAAGAAAAGAGAAACTCCTGACCGGATTGCGCATACACGAAAAAAGGTCAGTGGGCGGCCAAAGGGCTTTGGCTTACCCCAGTTGTGTGAGGAGGGTACATCTCGCCGGTTGGTCGTGAGAGAAGAATCACCTTGGGATACATATCGCCGGACACTCAAGTGTAATCTGGCTGGTGATGTATTCATTGCATCTCGTCGTTCCCGCCCATCCCAAGTGGTAGCTATTCGGGAGTACACCAAAGGGAACGTCGTTAAAATGCGACGACTGTATGGTATCCTTGACCACATTAATGTATTGACAGCCAGAGAGTGCTTCATCACTGAAGGACGTATATATGCTCTCGTCCACGACCTTCCTCTCACTTTGGAGCAACTTGTGGGCTGTAGGTCACTCTATCCCACAGAGACGGAATTGGCTTCCATGGTCTGGCAGGTATGTAGCTCTTCACATGCAACTATCCGGAGCTCATGGTAGTGCAGATTTTGGATGGATTATGTTATCTCAACGATACTGGATTAGAACATCAGTTTTTGACATGCCGAAGTATACTTCTTGGCCTAGATGGTATCATCAAAATTGGTGGGTGCCAATTTCCTCCTTCGTCATGACCCTTCTGACTCCCTATAGCCAGCCTGGAGTTTTGCTTGGATCGTCCGCCTGGCCTGGTACAGAGTGTATACATCAAAAAATTGGCTTCCATTACCATGGAAATCATGCAGAAGTATGTGAAAGACGATGGCATGGTAGGAATAGATGATGTGGAACGTTGGCCAGTCGACTCCGATGCCTTCAGGTTTCTTTCTGCTCTCTCGACAACAACGTCCATTAAATCCTTAAAAGAGGTACGTATCCAAGCAATCACTCAATGTATGCGAGTAGACCACTAATCTTAGCCAGCAACCACTTGTCCGCAAAAAAAGTCAGTTAGTAGGAGAGTTGGTGCTTCTTGCTCGGTCTATTCTAGTTTCCGCGAGGATGTTCTATTCCTACGAGAAATAGGGACAGAAAGTTGCTTTCGAGAAACTGGGAGAACTGGCTATATCATGATATCCAGTCTATTTCAAGGCTGAAATGGTTCTCAACAACTGCAGCAATAGAGTCTAGGCAGGTACTGTACGATCTATTATAGGATATAGCCATCTAAATGCCAGTCCTAGCATACGTCGGCAAATAGCAACGATAAACTTCCAAGATTAAGTTCTGAAACCAACAGAACATTACTGTGCTGCCGTCGGGCGCTTCCGTCTTCACCAACGTAATCCACGGCCGAGCTGGCCACACGGCCAAGATGGCCACCCCAAAACAAAGATGTTGAATATTGATTGCTCCGTATTTCAACCACCACGTATTTACTTCAGTTGGAATCACATGATATAGACCTAAATAGGCAAAGAAAGAGTTATAACGGATTCTTAAGTCTTCCAGACTATTATTTGAATGCTTTACCATAAAATCCACCGTAATTTTGATGTTTCAGATGCAAATATACATACAGTCATACTCGAAATCGGCTTCACCAGTACACTCTTCGACTCTCTTTCTCAGCCCCACCGCCAAGGCCTTAGCGTACATAATTCAATTATCCCACCTCATTAAGTTGCGGTCCAGTGACCTCCCCGAGCTTGCACGGTGACAGTTAAACCCTGGGGCCGCCTCAGTTTGATGCGTCCAGCCCAATAGATGTTCTGCCTAAAGGCTTGGCAGCGGGGCCGAGGAAGATAGTTGGAGAGTGGACTGGTGACGCCGATTTCGAGAATGACTGTAATGCGCGGAAGCATAACGAAAACATCCGAAGAAAGGAGTGAATCACCGCGAAGGCGTGGTGGTTGATACTATCTTGATATAAAACTGTTGTGGTTGTGTACCGAGCGGGAGCTAACCCCGGACCGATGGCGGACCCACCCGCGGGAGGGCCTCCCACAAACACCCAAGAAAGCACCACTAGTTTCTTAGTCGAGGATTTCCAGCCCCGAATTTCGATTGAGGCAGCCCAGATCATAGGAAAAAGAACGAGAAATAGCGAAGTTTACACGCCTACCGAAGGAACAGGCCGGATCACCACTAGGGAGGTGTAGAAGCTTATCGACAGCCTCAAGGATATTATCCACCGCCAGACGACCCTCATCGAGTCCACTAAAGCCGACCTAGAGGAGGTCAAGCACGACCAGAACGTCCTCCGAGAACAGAACGATAAGCTCCATAAAGAAGTCAGAGCCCTACGAGCTTAAATCGAAGCCAACCCACAGCCAAATCCACCTAGAACATAGGCAGCGATAGTAGCTAGCGGCACCGGCGACCCGCAGCCGAGCCCCCGACGACCTAAGAAAGACTAGAACTGCATCCGTATTAGCACACAGAGATTATTAGTAGACCCGAGAGATAATAAGAATAGCGAAGGGGATACCTTCGGGCGATATCTCTCCACCGACTCCGCCAACACCCACATCCGCTCCGCGCTATTAAGCGCCCCTCCGA